AGTGGGATTTGGCCTTTGCCGGAGGACCAGGGATTGGTGTTGTTCGGTTTGTTTTTTGGGTTGCTCTCGAGGCGTTTATCGTCCCCGACTCGATTTGCATGTCGAAGTGCGAAAAAAACCCTTGTTCTCTCCTTTCAACGAGTGCCAGATTACGCATACGCAATGTGTGCTCCCATTGTATTACATTGTGTTATGTTTGTTTGGACAAATTATGCAAATCGCATGGCAACAATGAAGAAGAAATATACAAGTGGCAAATAGCATTTTGGTCAGGATGTCTTATTCAACAAGAAAACAAGCAAAAAAAAAAACTGCCCGGAAAAAGGAAAACGATTTCCTCAACTTCCTTTGGCTATTTCATTAAAAACACGCCCCCATTTTTATGACTTAATTTGGTTTGCGTGTCGGCCAAAAGGCTTCTGCCCTCTCATGCCCGCATTCTCCCATAAACAGCTTCACACAATAAACTTGTTGACATTACTCTGGTCCGAAAAAGTCAAACAACACTTCATTAGTAGCCGCATTTGTATTTGTTTATAACTTAATCTACCCAAATGTCAACACGAAGCGCGCCTCTACAATTTCAACGAGTCCTGGTCACGCACATTTTAGGGATCCCCCCAAAAAAGGGAACTGTTTATTAAAAGGAAATGTTTAGACAAGCTCACTTAATTTGTTTATATTGCATCACAAATATCCGAGTTCATTTTAAAGCTGATCTGGAATAAAATTTAGAGCATTCTGGGTAATAAAACGCAGCCCGAAGATATAGGTGATATATGGAGGCGACAACGACAGAGTTTATTGCAGGTACGTGTCTTGAATTATTGTCAACACTTTGCCACGTTGGAGATTAACAAACATTCTAGCCTGACGTTTGACTGCCCCACTCCTGCCACTCTAGCCATTGCTGCCACATTTGCCCATTTTCCTTCGCCGGGAAAAATTGATGAGCGTGTAAACATGTGTCTGTGTGCTTTTATTTATGGATTTCCATAACAATCCAGCGTAACATATGTGTCTGAGCCGTTGATTGAAGCTCCTTCCTGCCGCGAGGGGTGTTTGTCTGGGCCAAAGCCTCTAGAAACTGGGTCAGGCCGCGGCATTCTGTTGGATAATTTCTTAAAGCCACTTTCAGGCAGTTTTGGGTTACAGTCTTTCGTGTTGAGTTTTGTTTACCTGTCGCTCTTTTTCGCACTTGGTGGCTTGCTTGCGAAGCTAACAAGAAATACTCGATATATAAGAGGTATTAATGGAAGACCCCTTTTCCGAGAAAACAATCAAATTAGAATATATCCTAAATCACATTCGTGACACTGCCACCATTTATGCGGCACATTTAACTACAAAAAAAGAATACCTTTCCCCTGTGGTTCTTTGAAAGTTTTTTTTTTTTACCACTTCCGTGCCAAAAGTTACGCTTGCCTTTTGGCTGGGAATTAACATGGCCGGGTCCGTTGTCAACACGGAATGAGAGCAGGGGTTTCGGGTTCAGGTGTCAAAATTGTTTTGGCGAAGTTTGTGGCTGCTTTTACGGCCACGCTTATTTTTGTTGAGCATTTCATGCACAGGCTTGAGATGTGGCTCAAGCCCCGTCCCGGTGCTGCCCCACGGGGAGCTCCTCTGCTTTCCGCCCAACCAGTTACCTTGGTTAAGTGGTGCAGTGGTGCAGGCGACGACGCTGTCGCTCTGGATGGCAAACTTCTGGCTTGCAACAAAAGCATAACAAAAAGCAAAAGGAAAATATGGTGGGAATTTTTTAACGCTTTCAAGTTTGCACGACGACGACAGCTTGCCAGCAATGGAATAAATGGGGTGGCAGGGGCGCAGAGGCAGAGGCCGGGGTGCATCTGAAGAGGGGATAAAGTAAACTATTACATAACACGCATAATACAAAAGGTGCCTGCCTGCCAGGCAGCCAGCGAGAATATGCATAAAAAGCGCATTTTATTATTTCACTCGAAACTTGTTTACGAGGCGCTTTTTAAGTCCCAACCATTCGCTTCGAGGGATCTTCTTGCCGATTCCTCGCCTGTCGCACTCATTCATTATAATGTAATATGGTTTTAACATTATTTTTATTATAAATCAACAAAATGCACTCAACGCCGACAACTTTTCATCGCCCCCACCAAAAAAAAACGAGGGAAAGACTAAAGTAAAAAGGGGTGGTTGGGCTCTGATTTATTTAATGCTATTATAGTTATGAGTTTATTACTTTGAAGGACACAAATGAAGGGAAATATATTAAAGCTTCGCTGGAAGCCGGAAAACGGAAATAAGAAGATCAAAAGAAAGTGTTTGACGAGAGAAAGGATCTTAGTCTTTTCATTCTTTAAAGTCTTTTGAATTTTAAGAAAAAGATTGTGTTAAACTTTATTTTATATCATCCTTGTCTAACGAAAACTATAATTTTAAATGTCTCTCCTAACCACTTGACAGCAGCGCAAATGTTCAGAGGCCACATTTATCTCCCGGCTTGGCGAAACAACAAATGTCACAGCTGTCTGTCAAGTCAGTTGCACCAAAATGGAATACATATCCCCAGGACACTGAAACGCAGCTGAAATTTTTCGTCTATGCTTCGTTTCAAGGATAAAAGCCTTGCCTTGCTTTTTGCCGCTCCGCACTTATTAATATTTTCCACAGAAATTTGTCAGCTTTTTATCAGCCAGTGGGGGGAAAGTGTCTGAAGAAATCAAGAGCGAAACTTTCAGAAATGAAAGTGAAAAATATTTAAATATAGTCATTACTTAAATCTAAATGAAGGAGTAGTTCTTACACTTACCTATAAGTGGAAGTATTGCCAGAAGTATATGTTTTAAAGGACAATAGTCTTGGTATTGCTTTAAATCTCATTTAAAATCAGAATTATATTCAATTCAAAGAATATATGCAAATTGTGCATCTGCATTCATCGCAAAGGTGAGAATTCCGCCTGTTGATTAATGCTTCGTGTTCTAATAATATTCACCGATTGTGTGTGCCCTGAATGGGGAATTAGAAGCCATGACTGATGTCGAAGGGCAGCAGCCATTATCCTTACACTTCTTGCATTGCAATTTCCTATCCTTAGCCGGCGATTTGCATGCTGATCTCATTAGCACAAAACAAGTTCATCTGCTCTCGGCTCGGGGCCGGCTGGAAGTTGCTTCCCTGGAAGCAAGTGCTGCAAGTGCATCATTTGCATGCAAATGTCGTTGGTAGGCCACTTCCCCTCCGAGTGCTCCACGTCCTCTATATCCTTCGTGTCCTTCGAATCCTTCGAATCCCCTTCGCTGCCTGGTTGGCTGTTCATTTCGCTCTTTGGGTCGCCTTTGTTGTGGTTTTGCCCTGGACTTGGCTTTTGGCTTCAACCAGCCGGAAGGGTGGAAGGTGGAATATGGTAACTGCAAGCCAGCTCTAGGGCTGACTGGGCTCATAAAGCAGAGCCACAGTTGCGACTGCTGTTGACACTTTAGCCAATATTCAGGGCACGCAGAAAAAACGGGCCGAAAGGATGAGATGATGGGATGGGGTGTGGGTTATGGGGTGTGGGGTGTAAGTGGCCTTTATGAAAAGTTTCTTTTAACTGCTGGAAACTTCTTGTTTGGCAATTGTCGGCCCTGTCGCTGTCGGTTTTTATGGACCTGCAAACGTGCTCTTTACCCACTCATTATGGACAGTTTAGTTGCACTTTTAGTCCGGCTTCCAAAATGTGAAATGAATGTCGGGCATTATCAAAAATATTTTTGGTAACATCAAATCGGCTTTAAAAGCTCTCTTTAACCACATACACGAATATTAAATTGAATTACATCTAAAGTGCTTTGCTTTTCTATTTTTTCTTTATTTTTTTCAGAAAAACTTTTGCGCCAGAATTTGTTGGCAGGAGAAGCAATCCGCTTACGAAAAGCACTTGCAAGATATTACGCATACGCCCCGTGTGGTGAGCAGTTCAAAGCATTTTTTCCAGCCAGCCAAAATTTCTGTTTTCTGATGCTGGCTTTGGCTGCCACTTAAAGACCAAATAAATAATTGCAAAGGTAGCTAGAGCATCGAATTAAATACGAGTCTAAAAAAAAAACATGAATGAGAACGGTAGCCAATTAAAGCAATACGCTCCGATGCGTTGTGAAGTACAATTAAGGATTTCAACGAACGCCAAAAGCCATACGCCAAAATATATATATTGTTTGGTGGGGAAACAATAAACAAAAAAAATGGAGGCAGAAACCTAAAGAAAGAAAACACAACCTTAACGGCTATAAGAAGGCAAGGAGTCCTGGGCCCAAGGCCAAGTTGCGGTGGAAAATAAACAAAAATGTAATTTGCGCCACTTAGCAGCCAGCGAATGGACAGTGCCATTAATAATTCCATTTTTCTCGGGTATTACGAGGGCGGCGTGGCACAGATAATAAGGAAATATGACTTTGTACCAGGACCTTACCAGCTTAACCGCAAAATTAAACGTAAAATAAAAAAAAGTCTGAAGTAAAAAATAAAGCCACAGTTGAAGAATTCTCTCAAATTCAAGGTTTCTGAAGGTTTTTTTTTAATCATCTTCTGGCAATGTAGAATTGGCAAATTTTCGCTCTTAAATTCAAATTCCAATTGTATTTCTCACATATTTTGGCCATATCTTTGACTTTGCTCCGTTCTCCGGCATGAAAATTCAATTAGCATGACAAAATGTCCACATTTATGACATGGGACGCTCGAATCCGAAGCCCCAAAGGACAAAGGGAGTGTGAGTACGATTGAGACACACCGGGGAAGAGGTGGCTATTCGAGTCCCATCCGCATGTGGGCATGGTCGTCGTGGCGGGTTATGAATTATGAAATGTAATTGAACGAAATTGAATAATGACGGCGACCGGTGTCAGTTGACAAGAAAAGTGAAATTCCAATGAGCGATTTATGGTCCAATTTCGATTCAATTTTGACAGCCGCAAAATGTCAAAACCAAACCAAATAAATAATTCATTGGACAAAAGGGATAATAAGTATGACTATATAAGGGCCGGGCCAGAAAAATGTAAGCTGCAAAGCGCAATGTATTTTTGGATACTCTTATTGCTGGCCTCGTCCTGCGTGGGACTCCCGACTGAGCTGGATTTGGACTACGGTGTGGCAGAGCCGCTGCGTACTGCCCTCCTCCAGAACAGCCTGATGGTGCAATTCGCTCAGCACCACAAGCGCATCCCCCGGCTAACCTACTTCACGTGCCGGAAGCCTCATTCCTCCGGATCAGAACTTCGCGGCGTTTTCGCAGCCAAGAATGCTCAGCTGATTAAGAGCCTCTACCAGAGTGAGCTCTTTGTGCGGATTGTGCAGCTGGATGTCCTGGCACCCAATCCGGCAGCAGGAACAGGAGGAGGTGCTACACGTGGTCGGGGGCCGAGCGGTGGCTTCAGCCAAACCCCCAGCCAGGCGCAGAGCAATGCCGAGTGGCTGGACGGTGTGCTGCGGATGGAAGCCCTCAGGCAAATTGCGGTCGTGGATCTGGCATGTGGCTCCCTTAGTCGCCGGTTTCTCGAGTTGGTAAGATGAATGATGGGCATCCGAATGAGGTGGGCTTACATCAGTCAGGCACTCAGGAAAATATTCTAAACAAAATAACTATACTTACCTTCAAGAAAAGGAGAGAGTTTTCTTTTTTAAAACATAAACCATTAAAATTTAAGGATTTTAGTTATAATTTCTCCCAGTGCCCATACCCATTGCCCTGTCAGGCTTTTGACTAGTCCGCTTATTAAGTACTCAAGTACAATCATTTGAAAGGCTTCCACCAAGATGCTCTACAGCGAGAAGTTTCACTGGCTATTGATAGAGGATTTGGCCTGGCAAGGAGGCAGGTCTTCTTCATCTTCTGGGCAGGTTCACAAGAACGGGAGTCAGGCGGAGGGAGAGGAGAGTCCTCCAGGACAGCAACTGCAGGCGACGGGCAATGAAGAGCTGCCCACCATCGAGAGTTTTATGAGGGGCATGAACCTGTATATGAACACCGAACTGACGCTGGCCAAGCGGATGTCAGAGGCAGCCCATTACACTCTGTTCGATGTCTGGTGAGAATTTAGGTTGAAGAATATTCTTTATTATTTGGTTCCATAACTCTACTCATTTTATCAACAATAAACCAAAGCAAAGTGTAACTTCTGGCTGAGTTCAGTCAACACATCAACCTTTATTTCCCAAACTGTCCACTTTCCGCCTGCTAATTCCCGCAATGACCTGATCCCCTTTTCCCGGTTGCCCGCTGCCCGCTTAGGAATCCCGGACTCAACTACGGCGGACACGTCAATCTGACCGAAATTGGCAGCTTCACGCCGTCAGGAGGAATCCAGCTGCACGCCTGGTTTCGAGGCACGTCCACGGTGCGTCGTCGAATGGACATGCAACATGCGAGAGTCCGCTGCATGGTTGTGGTGAGGCACCAGGGGGCACAAGTGGTTGGAATCAGGAGCTTAGGGGTCTATCAAAGATCTCAGTGATTTATTCTACACTTAAAACGATAAACTAGTGGTTCGAGAATAGCGAGAAGCTCCTAATCATTTGAAAACTTATTAGCTTAAACTTTTATCCTTCATATCCTCTGTATCCTTTATTTCTATACCCTACATCATTCCACGGCAGGTGACGAACAAAAACATGACGGGCACTCTGATGTACTACCTCACCCACACAGTGTCCGGACACATCGACACGATGAACCGCTTCAACTTCAATCTTCTGATGGCCGTCCGGGACATGTTCAACTGGACCTTCGTCCTGTCGCGGACTACGTCCTGGGGGTATGTCAAAAACGGCAGATTTGACGGGATGATTGGCGCCCTCATTCGCAACGAGACGGATATTGGCGGAGCACCGATATTCTATTGGCTGGAGCGGCACAAATGGATCGATGTGGCTGGACGGAGCTGGTCGAGTCGTCCTTGCTTTATTTTCCGTCATCCAAGGAGTACCCAAAAGGATCGTATCGTGTTTCTGCAACCTTTCACCAACGATGTCTGGGTTCTGATTGTGGGCTGCGGTGTTTTGACAGTTTTTATTCTATGGCTACTGACCACGATTGAGTGGAAATTGGTGCCACACGATGGGGCGGCGCTGATCAAGCCGAAGGGAGGTGCCCCACCACGTCACCACTACCAACAAAAGAGTCACCATGAGCTGGCCCAGAACCAGGAACCCCTGAATGCCACACTGGATGCCACTCTACGTCCAATTACGGCAGTCTCTGTGGCTGTTAATGAGGAGAAGCTACCAGAGGGGGAGACACAACCCATCGATGCAGAAACCCTATGGCAGCGCTGCTACCAAAAGCTCAACAAATACCTCAAGGAACGAAAGGCCAAGCAAAAGAAGTCCCCGGAACGGGTGGGACTATTTCTGGAGTCTGTACTGTTTTTTGTGGGAATCATCTGCCAACAAGGATTGGGTTTCTCCACAAGCTTTGTGTCAGGTCGTTGCATTGTAATTACCAGCTTGCTTTTCTCTTTTTGCATCTATCAGTTCTATTCGGCCAGTATTGTGGGCACTCTCCTGATGGAAAAGCCAAAAACGATAAAAACCTTAAGCGACTTGGTTCATAGCTCCCTGAAAGTGGGCATGGAGGATATACTCTACAATAGGGACTACTTTTTGGTAAAAGAAGTCTATTAAAAGGATAAACTATTATTTGATTGAGTATCTTCCTAATAGCATACTAAAGACCCCGTTTCCATGGAACTGTATTCTAAGAAAATCACCAGTGTCCCCACCACCAAGGAAAATGAGGCCGACGAAGATGAGCCTGTGAATGCAGCTGCCACTCCTGCTGATGCTGCCAAGTCCTATCGCGATATTGTTCACAGCCATGAGACAGGGGCCCATGCCAAGGATAGTTCAGTCAGCAATTGGTTAGATCCGGAAACCGGCTTACGTAGAGTTAAACATGAACGTAAGTTTGCTTTAAAAAATAATTTCCATGGCCATATAAGAATTTCCCTTTAGGCTTTGCCTTTCATGTGGATGTAGCAGCTGCTTATAAAATTATTGCCGAAACCTTTAGTGAACAGGACATTTGCGATCTCACCGAGGTCAGCATGTTTCCGCCTCAGAAAACCGTCAGCATTATGCAGAAGAATTCACCAATGAGGAAGGTCATCTCTTACGGGTAAAAATATAGTAATTATTATATAGTAATTAACTCAGAGCACTTAAAAATTCAGCAAAAGCTTAACAATTAATGTTCAGTTTTTTCTACTCTTGCACACACAAAGTGATTATGATTTAATGATTATGGCTCACTTATAATTCAGAAATATTCCCCTTATTTATTAATTAATATCTACATGTTATTTATGGCTATGTTTTTTGCTATGTTTTTGCTCTGCTTACTCATAAATTTTAATATTAATTGGTGCTCATTAAAATGGATAGTTTATTTTGCAAAAACATAAAAATTATTTAAGTACTTTAACAACAGGCACTTAAAATCAATAATTAAACTTTAAAAGGTTTAAGAATTTATTAGTCTGACTATTAATTTGAGTAATATATTTTTTGCTAAAAAAAATTATATTTTATGTTTAGTTTAAGGCGTGTCACTGAAACGGGCATCCTGACTTATCATTTTAATGTTTGGCACTCGAGGAAACCTCCTTGCGTAAAGAAAATCGAGACCTCAGACTTGCATGTGAGTTTTTGAGAACAAAGTAATAAGTTTTTAAAAAATGTAATTAAATTTATTTAAAGGTTGATATGGATACTGTGAGTTCCGCTTTGTTGATACTGCTTTTTAGCTATGGCATCACTTTCATGATTCTGGGCATTGAGATTCTCTACTGTAAGTGGCAGGGTCGCATCATAATCAACTTCAAATAAATTAAAAGTAAAGAATGAATCGAATTTAAACTTTAAAACTCGAACCCAAGTGGAATTAATTGTCGTCGGGGAAGTTTTCAGTTCATTTTGAATTCGCGCTTTCCGTTTCATTAGCTCGCCACAAAGGATAAATTCGATTTTCTCCCAGACGACACGGCGAATGTGTCGAAAGGTAAAAGTTTAATTAAATTAATCTGACTGAGCAGCAAATCAAAGGGAAACAGATTCAGACAAAATTTAATTATTCAGTTAAAACTTTTTCCCCTTTTCCCTATCGTGTTCTAAACTGGGAAATATCTCAGCCTCAACCAAAAATTTTAGGCAATCCCGTCAACACATAATACTACAAGATGACCAAATCGTTCAGGTTTCTTTTTTTTTCGGGCCATGGAAAATGGCCTGGAGTGAGTCAATTTTAGCCACAAACGAACTACAAAATATCCATTAAGATAACAAGTTTCTCAGTAGTTGTAACACAGAGTTTTCCTTCTTCTCTATAGCCCTCATATTTTTTTTTTCTTTAACCAAAGTATCCTTGCCTCTAAGTAGAAGAAAAAGGCTTCTTGTCAGCACTACTGCTCGCACAAAAGTTCTCGTCCTGGTCCTGTGTTATTTTGGCTATTTGCCAAAGTGCCGCTCTTAGGCATTTCTTTTCCTCTCCTTCCTCTTTATTTGTTTGTTAAATTTGAAAGGACTGGTTCTTCCTTTTCCCGAGTTTCCGAGGTTCTAGGCTGAAAAGCCGCAACAAGCTGCCAGGCTGCCGGGCTGCCAGCTTGCTAGTCGAGGGAAATCAATTACCAGTCGTGAGAATCTGTACTGTGCCCCCAAACATGCTGTCGCCTTCCTCCACCTCTGAAAAGTTGTCAACATTTTCATTTAATGTCCTTGCTCATTAGTGACCCAGGGCTACGATGTTAGATGTACCCGCAACCCAAACAAAAAAAGGAGTGTTGGTTTTTTTTTGGGGGAAGGGGCATAGTGTGGGGGACAAATGGTAAATGTTTCGGGGAATCGACGAAAAACTGAAAACTCGGTTCTAGCCGAGAACATGGCTGATTGAAAAAGTTTTACAGACATATGGGTACTGCTTCGGTAAGCTTTAGTTTGGGCTCTCAGTTCGGCTTAATCCCATACAGTTTGGTTATTTATCTACGCGCCATAAGATGCAATTTGGTTGCCTCACTTCGTCGACTGTGACAATTAAATTGTTTTGGCTTTGTTTGAGCGGCAAATTGTGCAACAAAACTTTGGCGGTTGCCAAGAAAAATAAACAGCGAAAAGAAAGTGCTGGGATGCTGTAGCAGTGGCAAGTAGCAAGGACCCAGGACCTGCAGGAGCCGCGGCATAATTAACAAAAGCGCTCAGCAAGGCGAGTAATTTGGCCCGCTTTGTCAGCGTGCAGTTACACTTAAAGAAATATTTAAATATTTATTAAAAAAAGATATAAAAATATATAAACTTTAAACTATTCTTAGACCTCTTATTTCTGATTTCTTAAGATTAGGAAGCTTATTAACTTCCTCATGTAACTAACTAAATGTTTTTCCTTAGTGTGGTAGTAAAATAATGCTCTTTCCTTCAACTAGGGGCTTGGCCAGAACCAAAAAGTTTCCTCGCAAAGCCAAACTAAAGCAGTTTCCCCAAAAGACGATGCCGTGCGAGATCGGGTCGAGATTGGACAGCCAAATTGGTAGCAGGGTAGATGGAAGTGCCAAGCATATGTTTTGGGGCTTGTGTCAAAGTGTGAAAAACTTTATGGGTCTTAATTAAATTTTATATACAGCGGAGGAAAGGAATTATGCACCAAAATATTGCAACAGCTCCCACAGAGATCCATCCCTCCTCCACCTTATCTGTGAAGGCAACTTTTCAAAAGTGACAGCTGCAATGGCAGCCAAGGGGAGCCCCCAAGGATGACGGAGGTCCTGCCCAGACTTGACTTTAAGCCAACCAATTAGTGCAAACTTAGGGGATAATTGAGTGCCTGATTATCAGTCTCGAGCTGCCTTCTAGTGGTGTAATTTGTATACCAAAAAAAAGGTGGATTTATTAAATTTTTTAAAGCCTTTCTCCCATACATGCCAAACACACACAAGACTCTCATTAAATTCCCCATTAAATTCAATTATCTTGTACTTTTATTTCATATGTATAATATTTACCTCGGCTAATTAACTTTCTTCGTTTGCCAAATGAAGCCAACAAATTGGGACAAAATTCGAGTTATTTCTGGCAGCTCATTATCATTCCGAGCATAACCGAGAAAATGTGGGTGACACATATGTGTGTATTAGGAGGAGTGGAAGAAAATTGGGCTAAGAAAATCCAGGCACGTGGCCTATTTCGAGTGTCAGAGCTCAGATTGTTTCTAGAAAAAATAAAAAAAACATCGCTATTAAATCACTAAAGTTCTGTAGCAAAAGTTTAAATACATTCCAAAATATAATGCTACTCTGATCAACAAACAATTACACGGTCTTAATTAATATCGAGGTTCAGGGACGATAAATTATTCCAGGACACGGCCCGGTCATAATTGCGGTCCATTCAGAGTTCATATGTAATTTAATGTTTCTACAATTGTTTTTTTGCTTTTTGTCTGTGATTCATTTCGGTTGCAACTAATTCCCCAAACAAGTTGTAAACTTTAATGACATTTTGCTGTTGCTGGCCTTTTTTTTTATCGTTTTCGATTTGTTCGGTTGTGTGGCCCTCATAATAGTTGAAAAGTGTAATTTATGATTATTTTTTTTGCTGTGCCAGCGGTTTGGCCAGTTGCCAAGTAATTTTTTATCAACTTTTACCAGATACCAGGTAAAAAAAAAGTAAATAAATGTACAAATGCATTAGAAGCCCATACAATTAAAGGGTTGATAAATATTCCCAGATAGAAAAAGCCTGTAAATAGTATTTAAATAAATGTAAATCACTTTTTTTTTGTTGCACAATTGGAAACTTTTAGACGGAAGTCACATGCAGATAAAGGAAAATAGACAGTTGGGAACATCATTAATACGCATTATTTACATTTTTCAAAAGTTTAAAATCGATCAATTGTCGTTTATTCGCTTTCCAATTGCGTCCTTTCATCTGTGAAAGTTTCTCCGTCTGAGAAAATGTTCTTTTCCCGGATTCGTTCTTTTTTTTCTGCACAATTTTCTGTCTAGCCGATGGCGCCGGAAGTTGCCCAAGCAGCAGCAAACCGGAAAGAAAAGAACTAGCAGAAAAATCGAAAGTTTTGATTTATAATCGAACAAGTTTCGAGCTGCCTTCAATTCAGTGAAGTCTTGAAATCCCCTCGGCTTGTCTATTAACTTGAAATTGCTCTGACTTGGCTTAAAAAAAAGGATACCTTTTGTTGGGCTGATGTACTTTTAATTTATTTACAATATCCGGATTGTATCAGGTGTTAAGCCGACACCCTATTTAAACGATCTGACAATAGCCTGCCTCAACCAATAAATTTCAATTAAAATGTCAACAATTTGCTGCGCGGTGGAAACAATATCTCACGTTCTGAATATTTTGTCAGCCAAGCTAGATATTCCCCATATATATTGGCCAAAGGGGATTTATAGCTGCTATTTGCTTATTGACAGCTGGGAAAGTGAGCGTGACATGATGGAAAGTAATCTAATGGAGAGGATAGACCAGCTGACTCAGGTAATTCATCATAAATATGCTGTTCAGATACACCCTCGCACCTGTGGCTGTCGTCGCTGGAAGTCATCAATCTTTCCAAAGGGAAGTTGACTTCCCCCTTTCTCCCCAGAGGTCCTTTTCCCTAAAAGGAGAAGTTGAAATTAAAATAAATTTTATTGCATAGAAAGCCTTAAATTTTCATTTGAAGTTGTTTTGTTTTATGCAACTATTTACTTTTTAGTTCTAAAATGTTATATTTCTGTTATTTGATTTATTTCAAGCTTTTTTAAAGCAAATAAACATATTAAATTCAATTTAGAAAGTCGGTCAAGGTCAGCATTAAATCTGGATTCATTTTATAGCAATTTGCTGAAAAACCACAAACCTTTCTCCGCCATCAAAGAAGTTTTAATCCTGCCTAAAAATTCAGAGGCTTTTTCTTGCTTTTCGTTGAAAGTTTATATTTTGTGAACAGCCGCTGGGGAAACGTTTTAGGGATTTAAAAAAAAACCGAAAGGGGGAGGACTGCGTTTTGTCGGCCTTTGCGCATAAAATAACATGCAAAAGGAAGCTGTCACTGTGACGACCGAGCACTTTTGATAAGCCGCACAAAGGCAGCAAGGGGACTAAGAGGGGCTACCAACCGGCTTCCAACCAAAAAAAAAAAGGGGGGAAATAGAAATAGCGAATCCTAAAATTTCCCCAAAATCGAAAAGCGCTTAAGGGGTCAGGGGCAGGGCCTCCTTCTGGGTTGATGAGTGCGTTCCCTTGATTGCCGGCCCCTGACTTTAGTTCTGCATCCTTTTTCGCGTCCTGATCCCCCTCACTCGTTCCAGCCAACTTGAAACGAGACTTAATGACACAAAGCGCACTAATTCAGTAGCCCACTCCATCTGCACTCCTCTTGCCACCCGCCACTCGCCACTTGCCACTCAACTTCCTCTCAGGATCTTTATTTCCCCCGACAAGCGAATTATTGTAATCCACTTGAAATTGAATCGGAACACAGGCAAAAAACGAAGGAAATTGATGCACAAAATGCACTGAGTGCAATTATCGGGGATTTCTTGGTTTGTTGAATGGCTGAGGATCTTGTAAATCACAGTATAGACAGATAGAATAGGGAAATCATTTGCCAAGGGAGTAGGAAACTTCTTTAAACTGTATTTTTTTCCTAAAAGTAAGTCACGAAAATGCCATTTCATGAAATGTTCAAATAAAAAGTATTATGTCTACATTAAGAGATACAATATTCAAATAAAACGAAACGCGGCCCAAAACTTTTGCCATCTCCTCTAAATGGGAGTCCAATGCTCCTCTTGGGCATTGGGGAGTCAAAACTGGCCAAGGATACAAGCCAAGCACTCAGGATATGAATCTTAAGAGAGATGATGACAACAACGAGGACGACTCGTTGACCACCAATGGGAATACTAAATTCGAAATGGAAAACAAAAGCTGAAAATACGCAATGATAATTCCACGATTATATTGTGCTTTTGGCAAAGTTTTTATGTTTTCCGGGAGATGAGTGGAAAAACAGAGCAGAGCAAATATTGTTGAAGGGACAATATTTATCTTCTGCCTACGCTTAACACGTATACGCCCCCATGGTAATTGCTGCATAATAAACAAGTCCAATTCCCTGCCAGTATATGGTAGCTGCTGCCACTCGTCGTCTTCCTTTTGTTATTTGCATTGTCATTTGTTGAACAAAAGCCTTCTGTTCTGGCCTGTGGGTTTAACTAATAAATACAACACGACGACGACGACGAAAACTATGGCCAAATGGAGGGAGAGATGGCCAAATGCATATACCCATTGTCACATTCCAGGCAAATGGTCCATGTTAAGTCAACAATAAACCAATCCAATGGCCAAATTGAATGTAATTTCGATTCAATATTAAGTGCATTCTATCTCTAACAAAGTGAATAAAGGACTCTTAATTGTTGATGATTTAAAGCATCATCTTCTCTAATGAAATATACAAAGTTACAAAATAGTCTTTCAATTGAGATTTATTTAAAGCAAATTCTTTTTGCTAAAAAGTTGAATATTTGATAAATTCTTAATGCTTTTTCTGCGCAAGTTCATTGAGAATATTTTCCGCATTGATTTAGACGCGTCGACCTTTGGCGCAGTCTTTCAAAATTGCCCAAAATTACTGGCTCGTAAAACAATAAATTTTCATCATATCCCAGCCCGACTCCCACACACGTGCTACCAGTGGTAGGCCACGCCCACAGCCCCCGCCTATCGTCCTGCTGGCCACGTGTAAAGTGCAAAATTGCAGCATCAGCGAAATGGACCAAGTCGAGAGACATCCTAACAAACTCAGAGATAGGATAGAGTTGGGGTTAAAGGGTTACAGGGTTAGAGGGTTAGAGGAGATGAGAATGGGCCGTCGTATGGGGAAATTGGGAAATGGGCGTGGCTGGCTAAAGATTACCGTTATTTGTATGCAAAGCAGCAGCAGCAGGCCAAAACCAGCAGCAACAAACACAGCAGGACCAGACCACTGCATGCCACAGTCGGCGTCAGAGAGCTGCCATTCAAAGTCATTCCCGGGAAGCGGGAGAACCCTGGTGGATGGGTCAGATGGTGCCGTGGCAGGAGAACAGCAGCAGGAAGCGGCCAACACAACGAGGAACGTGTTTCAATTTTTATGACATTTCAATGCAGTTTATGTCAGCGAAACGGGTTCAAAATGGCCAGTGGAGAGCCAACATCGAAAAGCTCGTTACAATTTTGACAATTCAAATTTTACCCGAAGGGGAAAAATATATATATGTATGCACATTTTCCTTGCATGTATCTCAACATATTCCTGAACAGTTTGTAACAATTCAATTGAATTGTAAAAACGTTCAAAAAAAATGAAACAAAAGTTAAAGTCAAAGGCTTGTGGTAAAAAATAGAAGAAATATTGAGTATACGGCATGGGGCATGTGTTGGGCAAAAGTTCAAGCTGGAAAATTCCTTTTATTTGCATTTCAAAGGAACTGCGATGAGTTTTGGCTAGAACTCGCTCATTATTTATGAATTGAACAACCAGGACGATACGGACGGTGAGAGTGAGAAGAAGTCCTGGCCGCCATGTTTTATTTATGAGACGTCAGCAGGTAGCCCCTTTCTGTTTTTAAGCAGCTCCTTTTGTGTGGTTTCTCATGAACATTCGTTGGCTGCTCACCTAATGTCTAGGTATTACAAACAGAGGAGAAAAGTCTTTAATTAACCAATAATTTATACCATTTTTGGTCTTAGAATTACAAAGAAAATATCAAACGTTATAAGTAACTATATTAGATTCTATAGTGAATCTTTTAAAGCTGATCTAGCTTTAGTATACTAATTATTTATCATATAACAGGTGTCTATTTCTCTCCTAATTTAGCAGAAACTAAATCAGCACTCATATTCAATAAACTATACCATCACACGCTCATTAAAAGGACATTAGGCGTATGAGTAACAAATGTCGCCGGCGGCACTTACCCTATCAGTCATCAGGTTAATCATATATGAGTGCCTCCGATTATTATTCATTTTCGTCCTGTATATAGCACCTGTCGCATTGCCGAAAACAAAACAGAAATTGTGCCTCATCAGGAGGTGGAATTTAAGTGGGGCCATAAATCCTTTTTGAGCCTCTCATCAGAGACTCCAAGTGGAGAGACTTTCCACAGGCACGTGACTCTCATATACAGATATAAATATGGTGGATATATACTTGGGTAAATCTGGAGTGGGGGAGGAAGGGGTCTCGAGGCGGTTGCTGACTTGATAAATTAACGCATTAAAGCTATAGTCGAGCCTTCTTCCCACCATGATGGGAAGAGGCTCCATGTCTCGCTGCTTTTAATAACGTAAATTGCAATCGAATCCGAAAAATAAAGAGGAACGAAAACGGAATGCGAAATGAGAATCCCGAGAAGTTAACTCAATTTTCCGGAGCGGTTACTATTTTTTTTATATTCTTTTTTTTTGGTAGGGGAGTAAAGGAAGACAGTCTTAAAGTAGGAATATTTAATCAGGAACACCTATTAAACATTAATCATTGCCGTAGGAGACACTCTACGGATGTAAAAGGTAATTGGCAGGAAGTATCTACTTTAAGTTTTGTCTTTAAACATTTTTTGTTTCTAATGAAGTTCTCAGCCATAGGGTTTTGAGAAAAAAAGGGAAAGCTAGAGGAGAACCCGCACTTGCCACCTGTTTTAGTGCGAAATTGATTGACAGCCATGTCTTTTGATTTCCCTGGTGTGGAAACGGCATCCATCCGCGCACAGGACAAGAATGAGACGAGTCCTTTTTAGCAAGCCTCCAGGCCGTATGTGTGACACTCGATGTGGGCTTCGTTTCATTCGAAAGTGGGTCAAAGCTCTACGGGGAAATAGTTCAATGGGATAAACAGGAGCAAGGATTACAGGTTGTTTGGGAAAGAGATACCTTTGTATAAAATTTAAATTTTAAAACCATAACTTCAAAGATAACTTTATTTTAGGCGTGTGACTAAATTGTAAACAGACATGTCTGATTATGAAACTAAAATGAATTTTCAACAAACTTGTTGCTGAAAACTATCAGGTGCAATATATGCTATGCAAATTGAATAAATTGGGCTTCTATTTGCAGATAGAGCAGTATGCCGGAAATTGGCCAACCTTTTTGTATTGCAAATATTTGCCTAAACCAGAAATGATTCCAATTTGTAAAATGACAATGCTCGAAGGGATTTTCGGTGGCCCGGCAAAGGCAAAGCCAAAACCAGTCATTTGCAGGATGCGCCCACCCACTCTCCTGTTTATCCTGGTCTTTTGCACCCACTTAATGGATAATGTTAAGTTCCGTCTAATTGCATTTGCATATTTTGATAATATTCCGAGAGGGGAAATGACACTGGCAAATGCATTCTCCATTCGAGATGCTCCTTTAAATGCGGATGAAATCGTGGAATTCGGAAAGGACGAAGGCAGGAAGAGCCAGCGGAAAAGGAAATTCCTAAGCTGTCGACGGAAATTTAATTGCATCGAGCGAAGAAATCCCATTTTATTACGCCGATTAACCGAAATTATTTATTAGTTTTTGCTTAATTTGTGACATGTGCAAACAATTAGTGATTTAATCGTATAGCCAAAAGGAAGCAAAAAATACAATATCGACTAATTAGCTCTGCGGTGGGCTTAATTCGTTCAGAGTCCATACAAAAATCTGTCCTGTGAATGAAAAAAACAGGATGTACTATTTACTTTTTTTTTTTAACAATTTTCATTTGTCAGACAGATATTTATTTATAACTTTATGATAAAATTGATCATTTAAGTTTACTAATAATAAATGAAATAACTTTAAAACTTCGGCATTATTTATAATATTTAATAATGTTTAATTTATTTTTCTTACTTATTCTTTTGCAGCGCCATCTAGTGAATATCTGTGCAACTTCTTTTCATAAGTTGGTTCAATATCTGCTACAAATAAAGATATATTATTCAAATCTTTTAAATCGTTTAAGTCTTCTATTCTTACGGAAATGTTTAATTAGAACCTGTTTTTAATTATTCTACGTATTTTCTAAATTAAAAATGCTTTTACTAAATTAAAATACTAACAGAACTCTGTTAAATAACATATGTTAGAGCTCAGCCGGCTCTCGAATCCCTTTTCCAACACTAAAAGTAAAGCAACAAAAATTTGGGCAACCAAAATAGCAACTGTTTGGAAAATCTATTAATTTATTAATAAAATATAACACAAATCTCGTGAAAATGGCGGCAAAGGTTGCAAGCGGCGCTAATAAAGTCTTTCAAAATGTAAGTTGTGAATTAATCATGTCTGGGAAGCTGATACAGTTGAAGTAACCTCAATTTGGAACCTCAATTATCCGGTGGTTACTAAAAAATGTGCATATCCCAGTTCCAAGGGTTTAATTTTAAAACCAAAATCAGAATATTACTTAAAAACTCGTTATTATTCGTCGTGCTTTTCATTTTTCTCACTTTCATTTCCAATAATATCAAAGGGCGTGAGTCACCCCGACTACTCAGGAGTTTCTATGAAATATCTGAAACAAAACTCAAATAATAAATCGAAACCTGAACCTTACAAGCAACTGAATTAAAATGTTTCCCCTTATTCCCCATTTGCAGCACGATGATGTCCACATCTCCTTCGAGGACCAGCAACGGATAAACCGCTTTGCCAAGCACAATGCCCGCATGGATGACTTCAAGGCGGAGCTGGAAACGAAACGCAATGAGCTCAAGTGTGTGGAGGAGGCCCTGGACGAGATCGAGCTGTTTGACGAGGATGAGGACATTCCGTTCCTGGTGGGCGAGGTCTTCCTGTCGCACAAGCTCGGTGGTACGCAAAAGCTACTAGGAGAGACCAAAGAGCAAGTTCTGAAAGAGATCGCCGCCATTGAGGCGAAGGCCAAGGTTATCAAAGCGGAGATGGACGAGCTGAAGGCCCACTTGTACCAGAGGTTCGGCAGCAACATCTCCCTGGAGAGCGACGACTAGATCTGCGCTCTGCTACATCGATTGTGCATTTTACATTAAACAAAATAGAGTACATTTAATTTAAACTCGATTAAACCTCTGAGCTTAGAGCACTAGAAAGTAGTATATTATGAGGCTGATAATAAGGAGAGTGCCTATGCATCCCCCTACAAATATTTTGCGATCTTCGACCAGGCGTCGTTCTATTAACTTCATCGTGTGGTTGGATAACCCCAGAGTGCTGCCGATGGCCTGGATACGTTTATGTGCTCCGCCGAGCGTCATTCTTTGCGAGATTAGGCTTTCGAGAATGCCACTGCCGGAGGCTATCATGTCATCCACGCCCCGATGGGCGTTTCCTAGTTGGGTGTGATGCTGCAGCTCGTAGTCCAATTGCAGGCAGGTGTCATCCGGCTGGGAACTGTTGGCCGTGAATCTGTGGTTAAGCAGTTGCTCCCTCTCCGACAGTTCCTGCGCCCGTCGCTGACGACGTTCTCTAGCTGTTTGCAGGGAGTTCTGCAGGTGTCTTAGATCGTATTTCAGCTGGTCCACTCGTAGTTTCGAGCTCTGTCGTTGGGATGGGGGCACCTTAAAGAGTAGCACATCCAGGCGATCGCAGTTTCTAAAAACGATATCCTAATTAGCTTATTTGATGGTATTAAACCAATTATAAAACCTACGAATTAGCTTGGGTAATCTTCACTTGAATCCCACCTTCCACGTCAAGGGATTCTTGTGGACTCAGCTGACTCAACCGCTGAAAGTCGCGCTCGATTTCCTTGACCGCATTATTGGTTTGGTGGTACAGGCACTCCATATTGACTGCGGTATCAATTCCTCATTCCTCAGTGGCTGGTTGGGGCAAGAATTAAATATTTAATCTCTTATTGGATGTTTAAAAAGCTGACGCGGTGCATTTCACAGGGTTATGTTAGAATAACAGTGTTGGTAACAGCGCAGCTGTAAGATACAGTATTTAAGTAGGACCAGATGGCGGTATTAAATGCGTAAAATACTGAAGGAGGAATAAAATTCAAAAAATGTTTTTGTTTTTTATCTGTTTAAATAAAATGAATTTATTTATTGCATATAATTGTATTTATTTTTTATTGCTTAACAAAGTATAAATTATCCAAAAAATCGGAAAAAACGAAACTAACAGAATCAGAAATGCAAATCTGTGATTTAAAAATATTACCGATATATATGAAGAGTGCCTACTCTGCTAAAAAACAATGGAACTTGTTGAAGTGGAACGTGGAACTCCAAAAAATTAGTATTACCGTATTTTGTTTTAAGGAAATAAAGACAGTCGTCGGACTATTCGCAGAAACTGGCAACTCTAGCTAAAAACCACAATGGCGAATACATCGAGTGCCGGCGTTGGTAAGAATAAATTTGATAATTTAACTATTTGGAAGCGAATTAACACCATGGCTTCTGGCCCGGAAGTGAAGGCTACCCGCAATGTGAGATTCCCGCTAGCCGGCGTCTTTTTTCACCCAAAAAAAACGGCCAGGAAGTGTGGCCGCGGCCTCTGTGCTCTTGTGTGTGTGCAAATGATGGGGAAAAGAGGAAGGCAAAAAAAGCAAGGGCGAAAACGAAAGCCGATAAAAGCGAGCGAGCAATGAATATTTTCGCAGGCGGGCCACGCCACTCTTTTTTTTTCTTCCGATTGGGAAAAACTCCGCCACTGCAATTGCAGCAATTCCGCCCCGTGACTTGACACTTTCGGTAGTCCGTCCACCGCCCGCTGCAGCCCCTCTGGCGCTCGCATTCCGCCCTCCCAACCTCTCCCTTCTTTTTTTTTAACTTTTTGAGTGAGTTTTTTTTTTTTCCATGCACACTTGGTCTTTGCGTGCGTTTAGCAAACTGTTTTCTTTTCTAATTAAATTAGCTGCAAATTACATTTGCTGGGATTGTTTTTGCAAATGCAGAATTTATGCCCTTCCCTCCCCGTTAGCCCACACTGCTGCCCAGTCGTCTGTCATTCGCCGCCTGCGTTATGATTTATTCTCTATTCTTTGCTTTAGTTCAGTTTTTTTCCTCGACAAGCACACGAAAATGCGTGCAAAGTCACACGGCGAAAACAAAAACAACACCCAGACGCAGAGAGCCACCTACAACAACAACAACGCGCACCCATATGACCCCACACAGAGAAAAAAATATCACATAGTTGTCATGAGTTTCATGTTTTTGTTGGCATTATATTTGGCCAGATATCTACATATATATATTCATAAAAAGATATAAACATTTTTCCATATTCCCTAGAATGTTTGCATATTTCTTTTAAGTGTATCCAAATACTTGAAAAGGTACTACTCATCAATCTATCACCTTATTTTACCATTTTGCAGTGGTGCCACGAAATTTCCGCTTACTGGAGGAGCTGGATCAGGGCCAAAAGGGCGTGGGCGATGGCACCATATCGTGGGGATTGGAGAACGATGATGACATGACGCTCACCTACTGGATCGGCATGATCATAGGTCCGCCAAGAGTAAGTTTTCTAATCGACCCCAAAGAAGTTCTTTTTCCCCTCCTACGTCATCAGATAAGCTTGATTTATCAGTATTTTTGGTGGGATTATTGAAGTTCTATCACCAGGGGTTGCGTAAACCCAAAGCTGTTATATTCTTTTAGTGGTTTTTATGGGTTAGAATTTTAGGTCTTAAAAACTACCATTTAATTGGAAATAGTTGTGACAAGGTCATTGAAAATTGCTGCAATTTATAAAGCACTTTGTTCTGAATTTTAGAGAAACTAGAAAAACACATTCTTTAGATAATTTTATAATTTAAAAAACTAGATCTTTAATAAAGTAAACAACATTTAGGGAAATCAGAAAAATAAACTAAATTTGCATTTGTTTTTGCCTTAGTCTAGGAATGTTGCGCGCGCCGCCGCATGAATCATTGAAGAGTTTAGGGAGGAGGCCGGGACCTCCCTGGGCAAAGAACCCCAGTCCGGATTTAGTTGCAGTCAGAACGAAGGGGACTGAATCATCAACACGCAGTTTTAAGCTTCTAATTAAATTCTATAGCTAATTGTCAACTTTCGTACTTACAGACACCATTCGAGAATCGAATGTATTCGTTAAAGATCGAATGCGGTGAGCGTTATCCAGACGAACCGCCAACGCTGAGGTTTTTAACTAAAGTAAATATTAATTGCATTAATCAGAACAATGGCGTGGTGAGTATTAACAGCAAAATCTATATGATTTTCTGGTGACTAAAGATCGTTTGTTAAATGCCAACAGGTTGATCATAGATCAGTGCCCATGTTGGCCAGATGGAGTCGCGAGTATACTATAAAAACGATGCTGCAGGAAATTCGGAGGATTATGACCATGAAAGAGAACCTGAAGCTGGCACAACCACCAGAAGGAAGCTGTTTTTAGTCGACAACAACAACAACAACCATTAGTAGCAACAACAACAACAGAGCTAGGAGCAGCGGCAATTGCAACGAAACAAGATAAACCAAAACATCTGTCCAAGACCAAGATTCAAGATCGTGTGCTGCAGCTGCTCCTGCTTCTGCAAGGATTCTGATGAACGTAATAGGAGATTGAAGATCGAGTGCGGTTATTGTGGAAAGAACAACAACAACCAAATGCAAGCTATATACTATAAGTAACACTGGAACAGCCGCTAAATGCGAAATGCGTCCCTTCCGTCATGAAAACTATGTCATCGCGTTTGGTTACTTTACTCTACTTCACCCAACAATAACAAAAACAACAAAACAACCTTTCTTAAATAAGAAATAAAACAACAGCGAGAGAAATGCCTACGAAAGATATGCGAAATTTTTAATTTTTCTAATCACTTGCAACAAAAAGAAGCAAACAAATTTGTAATAATCGAAAAGCAAACAAAACAAAGTATGAAACTGAGAATGATTCTAGATTCTGATTGAAATGAGAAGCGTAATTATTGTTTTTGCCTAAACTAAAAATTTATTAATTATATACATAAAACAAAAAAAAAACAAACAAACAAATTATATATTAATTTAAATAAAAGAAAAACAAAATGTGGGAGCGAATTTTTGTAAACGGCGCCAGTTTGAAGCGATTTCTTAGTTGATTCTCCTTGTTTTGACTATCTTCCTCCCGAATCACCAGGACGAGGGACGCGACTTAAAATATACAAGAATGTGGAAAGAATAGATATATTATACCTACTTATATAGAAAAACACTAAGCTGAAGTGGTATCCGTGTGGGCCGATCGACGATTAAAATAAAACTTTACTTTAAGCTTCAAAATAAAACAATTAATCCAATAAAGAAAAACGTAAAACTTTTGAGGAAAAATTGCTATTTGGGAATATTGTATTTGAACCCCTATCAAAGAATTCCAAATCGGATGAAAACTGACCAAGATATAGCCATCGCAGTGGGCCATATAGGCCTTCCACGCATTTTCCCAATTCTGAAAGGGGATCCCCCAGAAAATTTGACAAAATATCTGAAAAATAATTTTTTTCTAGATTTTGATGCAGAATGATGGAGAATCGCTCCAGAAATCATTTAAGGTATTCCTCTCAAGAATCGGATGAAAACTGACCAAGATATAGCCATCGCAGTGGGCCATATAGGCATTCCATGCATTTTCCCAATTCTGAAAGGGGATCCCCCAGAAAATTTGACAAAATATCTGAAAAATAATTTGTTTCTAGATTTTGATGCAGAATGATGGAGAATCGCTCCAGAAATCATTTAAGGTATTCCGCTCAAGAATCGGCAAAAAACTGTCCAAGATATAGCCATCGCAGTGGGCCATCTAGGAATTCCATGCATTTTCCCAATTCTGAAAGGGGATCCCCTAGAAAATTTGACAAAATATCTGAAAAATAATTTGTTTCTAGATTTTGATGCAGATTGATGGAGAATCGCTCCAGAAATCATTTAAGGTATTCCGCTCAAGAATCGGATGAAAACTGACCAAGATATAGCCATCGCAGTGGGCCATATAGGCCTTCCATGAATTTTCCCAATTATGAAAGGGGATCCCCTAGAAAATTTGACAAAATATCTGAAAAATAATTTGTTGCTAGATTTTGATGCAGATTAATGGAGAATCGCTCCAGAAATCATTTAAGGTATTCCGCTCAAGAATCGGATGAAAACTGACCAAGATATAGCCATCGCAGTGGGCCATATAGGCCTTCCATGAATTTTCCCAATTCTGATAGGGGATCCCCTAGAAAATTTGACAAAATATCTGAAAAATAATTTGTTGCTAGATTTTGATGCAGATTAATGGAGAATCGCTCCAGAAATCATTTAAGGTATTCCGCTAAAGAATCGGATGAAAACTGACCAAGATATAGCCATCGCAGTGGGCTATATAGGCCTTCCATGCATTTTCCCAATTCTGATAGGGAATCCCCTAGAAAATTTGACAAAATATCTGAAAAATAATTTGTTTCTAGATTTTGATGCAGATTGATGGAGAATCATTTCAGAAATCATTTAAGGTATTCCGCTCAAGAATCGGATGAAAACTGACCAAGATATAGCCATCGCAGTGGGCTATACAGGCCTTCCATGCATTTTCCCAATTCTGATAGGGGATCCCCTAGAAAATTTGACAAAATATCTGAAAAATAATTTGTTGTTAGATTTTGATGCAGATTGATGGAGAATCATTTCAGAAATCATTTAAGGTATTCCGCTCAAGAATCGGATGAAAACTGACCAAGATATAGCCATCGCAGTGGGCTATACAGGCCTTCCATGCATTTTCCCAATTCTGATAGGGGATCCCCTAAAAAATTTGACAAAATCTCTGAAAAATAATTTGTTTCTAGATTTTGATGCAGATTGATGGAGAATCGCTCCAGAAATCATTTAAGGTATTCCGCTCAAGAATCGGATGAAAACTGACCAAGATATAGCCATCGCAGTGGGCTATACAGGCCTTCCATGCATTTTCCCAATTCTGATAGGGGATCCCCTAGAAAATTTGACAAAATATCTGAAAAATAATTTGTTGTTAGATTTTGATGCAGATTGATGGAGAATCATTTCAGAAATCATTTAAGGTATTCCGCTCAAGAATCGGATGAAAACTGACCAAGATATAGCCATCGCAGTGGGCTATACAGGCCTTCCATGCATTTTCCCAATTCTGATAGGGGATCCCCTAGAAAATTTGACAAAATATCTGAAAAATAATTTGTTGTTAGATTTTGATGTAGATTAATGGAGAATCGCTCCAGAAATCATTTAAGGTATTCCGCTCAAGAATCGGATGAAAACTGACCAAGATATAGCCATCGCAGTGGGCCATATAGGCCTTCCATGCATTTTCCCAATTTTGAAAATTACTTGATGACAATGTTAATACCCATAAAATATTGATGAAAACCTCATCGAATGCAATTTCTTTCAATCCAGTGTGAAATTGGTTTGGTTTCGACAAGTACGTATAAAAAAGGCATCGATCGGCTTACTTTACATCTTTCAAATCAGATAATAAGAGCTAAGATGTTCCGTTTATTGGCATTATTTTGTTTGGTATCAACCACCGTCGGTGTATATTTCTTTAATACTGTAGTTATTCCAGGAGATGAAATGCTTGACTGTCTGGAAAGGATGAATGCTGAGAAAGATAAAACCGTTCCTGAGTGTACGCTGCACTGCTTTATGGAGCTTACCAGTTTAATAAAGAATAACATGCTCCTCAAACGCAGTCTTAAAAATATTGTTCCAGAACCAAGTGTTGCAGCGGCAAAGTGCTCCTCGTCAAAGCCCGATAAGGAAAAGAAGTGCCAGTGGGCCAACGACGTATTTGATTGCATTCAAAAAATTTCCGCGAACACAACCAATCCAGTTCCTTTAAGAGGAGAATTTATTAAAGCTATAACGACTGATTTTAAAACAATGGACACTAAGATTGACTCATTTCCATATACATTTCCACATACGAAATAAAACTTCATGTCGGGTCTAAGGCGTATCGATTTTGAAAAGGACGAAACCGATCCTGAAAGTACTGTCCAATGTTTTTTAAGGCTTGTCAATTTTCTAAAGCTTCACAAGATCAACATGGACAAGATCAAAAAGCTTCTTATTCCCAATAAACAAAAAAACCTTTAAGATGAAAAATTGTTATTATTTGGGAGTTTTCGACCTTATTGATAGAAAGTTGAATTAGAAATTTAATAAGATTGGATGGTTGGTTGGAAGTAACTTAATACAAAAAAAAAAGAAAAATTCGGATGGGTCTGTGACCCTTACTTGATGTTTTTTCTAATTCTTTTTACAAAAATAAACTTTATACATTGTTGAAAATGGAGTTTTAAAAACTTCTTTATGAAAATGTTAATATCCATAAAATATTGATGATGAAAACCTTATCAAATGCGATTTCTTTCGAAAAAGTGTGAAATTTGTTTGGTTTCGACAAGTTCTTATAAAAGAGGCGTCGATAGGCTTACTTTACATTCAAATTAGATAAAAACTAAGATGTTCCGTTTATTGGCATTATTTGGTTTAGTATCAACCGCTGTCGGTGTACATTACATTCAGAATGTGGTTATTCCAGGACATGAAATGGTTTCCTGTCTAAAAAGGATGAATGCTGAGAAAGATAAAACCGTTCCTGAGTGTACGATCCACTGTTTTTTGGAGCTTACCAATTTGATAAAGAATAACAAGATCATCGTAGACAGTCTCAAAACGGTTTATCCAGAAACAACTGGAGCAGCGGCAAAGTGCTCCTCGATGAAGCCCGATAAGGCAAAGAAGTGCCGCTGGGCCAACGATGCATATGATTGTATTCAAAAAATGTCCTTGAACACATCAGATCCAGTTCCTTTAAGAAGCGAATTTCTTAAATCTCTCCCGAATGATTTCAAAACAATGGACTTTAAGATTCAATTATTTAATAAAAAAATTCCATATACGAAATAAAACTTCATGCCGGGAACCTCCATGATATATTTACATATCCATGAAAGACAAAACCGTTCCTGAAAGTAGTGTCCATTCTTTTTTGGGACTTGAAAATTTTCTAAAGCCTCACAACATTAAGAAGCTTCTTATTCCCAATAAACAAAAAAAACTTTAAGATGAAAAATTGTAATTATTTTGGAGTGTTCGACCTTATTTAAAGAATGTTGAATTAGGATTTAATAAGATTTCGATTTGTCTGTGACTCTAACTTTCATTTTTTATTACTTTAAAACAAAAAAAACTATATACACTGTAACTTTTGAAAATTTCTTTAAGAATATGTTAATATCCATAAAATATTGATGATGTAAACCTCATCGAATGCGATTTCTTTGGAAGGAGTGTGAAATTTGTTTAATTTCGAAAAGTACGTATAAAATAGACATGATCTACTTACTTTACATCATTCAAATCAGATATTAAGAACTAAGATGTTCCGTTTATTGGCATTATTTTGTTTGGTATCAACAGCCGTGGGTGTATATTACACTAAGACTATAGTTATTCCAGGAAATGAAATGAATTCCTGTCTGAAAAAGATGAATGTATCGCAGGATAGAACCCTTCCTGAGTGTTCGGTTTACTGCATTTTAAAGCTTACCAAATTGATAAAGTCTGACAAGATCAACCCGGACCAGGCCAAAAAGGGTCTAAAACCTTCAACTGTGGCGGCTATAAATTCAAAGTGCGGTGCGATACAGCAGGATAAAAAGAATAAGTGCCGCTGGGCCGTGGAAGTGTATGATTGCGCGTACAAATTGATAACAGAAGTCGGAGTTCCATCAAGAAACGATTTGATTAAGGCTATCACGGTAGATCATCTCAAAGAAGACCTTATGATTGATGTATCTAGGCTGCTTGAGGGCGCCCAATTCTGATGGGTTCAGGGCGGAACTTCCAGGAATAACACAATAAATTTTATTAAAAAAAAATGAAAATTTATAGAAAATTGATTGTTTAAGGTATTCCGCTAAAGAATCAGACTATTATTGCCAAATATAACGCTATCGAAGGGGATATTTTTTACTCTTTTTATTTGGGATCCTTCAGAAAATTTGCAAGGGAACTAAAAATATAACATTCTTAAATTCTCTCATTTAATGGTAATGTTAAAATAATATAATTATGAAACAACCCAGATCTAATGCGATTACTTCCACAACAGTGTGAAATATATTTGGTTTTGACAAGTTTGTATAAAATCAGCTATACAGACTAACTATACAGACATCATTCGAATCTTATCAGGAGAATTAAGATGTTGTTTTTGATGGCATTCTTGTTTTTAGTATCAACCGCCTTCGGTTCAGATCCTGTAACAACAGTGTTTCATCCGGGACCCAAAATGAGTGACTGTATGGACCGAATGAATGGAAAAAATAAACCTTCTGCAGAGTGTTTCCTCTACTGTTATTTTGAGCTTACCGACTTTATGACGCCTGACAGGATCAACATGGAGAAGGTCAAAAATGTTTTTCCGGATTTAAATGAAGCGGAAATAATGTCAAAGTGCGCTACTATAAAGGTCAACAAAGATAAGAAGTGTCACTGGGCTAGCGACGTATATGATTGTCTTCGATTAAGGTCGAAATTTGGCCCAAAAGATGATGTTCTTGGTACCCAACTTGAGGATTCAATTAAGATATAATATAAAAGGCGAGAAGGCAGCTTTCCCCCTATTATTTTAAAGCCCTCATTTAGAGGATAATGGGTTGCCCTTCCATGAATTTTGAAAAAAATAAAAACCATTTGTTTATAGATTTAAAATGGTATAGATTTAAAATCCATACCGAATCCATTTTATTCCATATCGAGGCTTTAAATCGCACATCATTGATCGGGTAACTATTTACCAGAAGAATCTGAGAAGTGAAATGAAAAGGTTCTGTGTTTTGGGCTTCTTAGTTCTACTATCGACTATAGTCGATGGAAGGAAAGGAAAACAATCTGCCATTAAGATTGCTGATCTCGAGGCCTGTATGAAACGAAAAAATGCCGTGAGGGATAACGCCGTGAATGAGTGTAGATTCTACTGCTTGGCGGAGCTCAGCAGATGGATAAAGAACAACAAGCTCAACATGGGCAAGGTTAGAAGATACTATGGCAAGTCACCAAAAGTGGCTGCGGATATACAGAGCAAGTGCGGTTCGATAAAGACCACCGAGGACTGTGACTGGGTATCCCAGGTGTATGAGTGCTCCGAAAAAATACCTGGGGCCAAGCTTCCACTAATGAGTACAATTTATTGGAAGATTGAATAGGGATATCCACGAAAAAGAGTTAAAATAATATAAAAATGTAATTTAAATATTGCTAATAAAGAAAAGTGTTGAATATTCAAAGGTCCTATTTTACCCATTATAATATATGCTTTTTTTGAATTGGGAAGAGCTTCTTTCTAGCAAGACGTTGGTAAAGAAAAGCTTTTTCTGACTCACAGTCAAGTGATTCTGACCTAAATGTTAAAATTCTAAAAGTTATTCTCAAATTAAACCATAAAATCGTATATTGTTAATAATTGAAAAGTAAATAATACCCTACATTTAATCTTGCTTGGTTGAAAGCTTTTCGAATCCCCTCATTAATCGAATTATTTTAATTGTCAATTATTTATTTTTTAAATACATAATTTGAATTATCGATGCTATACACAATCAATGTAACATTATCCATGATTCATTTTGCTAGGCTCTTGTTTTCTTTTTTCGTCAACTTGGATCCCCCGATCGTAAATCAGCCAATGGGCTCATATAATCGGTTTCTTCATATCCCAGGGCATTATATTGTTTTAGCTACTTTAATTAAGATCTTAGTGTTAGCTCTCGCAAATGGCATAGTTTGTAATTGTTTTTTTGCTGTTTTTTTTTTGTTGTTGGAGAGAGAACATTGACTTGGTGGCTGCGAATGCTGGTTTTTTGTGTGTATTTGGTTTTGCTTAAAATTGATTTATCTTTATTAGTCGGTAAAGCCGCGATAACACTGCAATTCTTCACACCATCAAAATCAAATTCAAACACTCTACTTCTCCTTGGGCACGAATACGATCTTTCGCGACTTGAGCGCAGACCACTTGTGTCGCTTAATGTAATACGAGATGACGGTCAGGAAGCCGAGGATGCCAATAACCTTGATCAGCAGCTGCTTGCGATCGTCGTGCTCCGGCTCGGAGGTCCACTTCAAGAAAGTGGCCACATCCTTGGCCAGCTGGCTCTGCGTCGGCGGAGTTCCATCCTCGTACTCAATGACCTGAAAGTAAGAAACACCAGGGTTACTCTTTATAATACTTATATACTTAGTAACAACTTACCTCATTGTACAACACCTGGGCCATGGAAATGGCACCGCCAGGGAAGTACGGGTTGAAGTACTGTCCCTCGCGTAGCACCACACCGGCGGGGGCATCATGATAGCCCGTAAGCAGCGAGAAGATATAGTCCTCGCCACCCTTGCGCGCCGACACAATGTAGCTCAGATCCGGCGGATAGGCGCCGTTGTTGGCAGCACGGGCCGCCTCCTCGTTGGGATAAGGCGACGGGAAGTAGTCCGACAACTTGCCGGGACGGTCGTAGTAGTTACCGGAATCGTCAGGGCCGTCCTTGACCTGTCCATGGATGATATATGGTTATAAAATAAACATAGTACTAATATCCTTTTAGACTAACCGTGATCTGCTCGGCTTCAGCCTTGGCTTCGGCTTCGGTGTGGCTGACACCAACCAGATTGCGGTAGGCAATGTATTGCATCGAGTGGCAGGCGGAGCACACCTGCTTGTAGACCTCGTAGCCACGACGGATACTGAAATTTTAGCATTATACAAATTCATTGAAACTTTGTAATCCCGGCGAGAAAGATTACCCCTGGTGGTCCAGCGAGGAGAAGAGGCCCTTGTGGCTCCAGGGCTGGGCGGGGGCGTGCACCTCACTGCCGGATGCCTGGACCGATTGCTCCAGGGCAAAGAGAAGGGCTCCAACACCGCCGGTGATCGCTCCCATAGCTCCGATCAGCTGTTCGCCACGGACACACACACGCACACACAGTCACCAAGTCACCGAGAAGCAAACGCGTTTTGAGGTTAGATCCGTTCGGCTATTATGAAATGCCAATTGGGAATCTCACGGAATCGTGACTCGTAAACTTACCTTCTTGTTGCCATTTACCCAACTGCCGGCGGAGGAGAGGTTCTTGGCCTGCAAATATACAAAAATTTTATTAGATTTCTGTCTGGCCAAAACCTAGAGACCGAATTTTTGCACGGAGTTACATAATTGGGGTGTTCGGGTCATATCAGTGCAGTTGGGATCCAATTAGATTTTTGATTACAGATTGTGACCACTTTGAGGTCATTTAAGCCTTATGACCATGGTTTTGTGGCCATTAATATCCATTTAAATGCTGTTTTTATCCATTTGACATGGCCTTTGTGGGCTCGGGGAGCCGTGGAAGATTTTCTCTCCGGATTTTTTTACCTGCTGGAGGTTGAGGGCTGGCGCGGATTTCAGCAGCCGCAAGCCGTGGAATCTTCGCAGTGTCGCTGCCATTGGGGCCGGAGTTGTAATTTAAGCGTCGTCTGGTCGTGTAAGGAAAACGAAAGGAAAACTCTGCGGACAGCGCCAATCGAATCTTACTGGCACTTCTTCCTCTTCTTAACTCTCTCTCTCACCGCGGTGGTGGCAGATGTTTACTCGCCCGCCTTGCGTTGGTGGTTCAAAAATACTACATCGCTTAATAAATGGTATTTTTTATTTCATTTTTAATTTTAAAATATATTCATAGTTTAAGTTAACAGTCCGTTGTTTGGTTTTAATATAAATATTTTTTTTTTTAATTTTATTTTGTTTTTGGTTTCTAAATATACGTTTTCTTATAGTTTTTGTATGTATATATTATAATAATTTATTTTTAGTTTTTTATTCCATTCATAAATACATTTTTTAATGGCCTCCAAACATTCATTGAGGAATTATTCAATTGGAACCACCTGTTGAATACAAGAATCTCCAATAAATAAATCGTAGTGAGTTTTTAAGGGCAGATAACCAGAGAACTTGTTTAAATACTTTTATTTGAAAACATTTCAAGAAAAATTAATTAATCAAGAAAGAAAAATATTCCGAACTCAATATAATTAAATTTTATAAAAACTAAACTTAAAGATTTAAAAGAAAGATGCCTTCTATTAAAAAGATACTTTTTTAACAGATACTTATTTCTCTTCTTGCCGCTCATCTGGTCACACTGCGCTCTCGCTCGTTTGCCGCGCACCCACTCATCGCCAACAGCTGATTATTCACTCGCGAAAAATACCTAGCAACGGTGCATAAACAAATGCGAAGAAAATCTCCAGCAATCGATTTTTACTAATTGCGGCCAGCGCCAATAGCGGTTTATTGTTTTCCCTGAAAAAGGAATTTTCCGGAGAATAAATTAATAACCGGAAAAGATGCCGCAAGAGGACGTTAATGCCGCTCCAGCAGCCGCCCAGCTCGATGACGAAATCGAAAATGTACGTGTGGTGGTGCGATGTCGGCCGATGGACAAAAACGAGCTGTCCGCAGGAGCCCTGGGCGCCCTTTCCGTGGACAAAATCAACCGAGCCATCACGGTGATGAAGCCCAACGCCACGGCCAATGAGCCCCCCAAGACATACTACTTTGACAACGTCTTCGATGGCGGTTCGAATCAATTGGATCTGTATGTGGACACGGCTCGTCCGATTGTGGACAAGGTCCTGGAGGGGTACAACGGCACAATCCTTGCCTACGGACAGACTGGCACTGGAAAAACGTACACCATGTCGGGGAATCCCGACTCGCCACAAACAAAGGGCATAATCCCGAATGCCTTTGCTCACATATTTGGGCACATCGCGAAGGCCAAGGAGAATCAGAAGTTTCTGGTGCGAGTGAGCTACATGGAGATCTACAACGAGGAGGTGCGCGATCTACTGGGCAAGGACGTGGGCAAGAGTCTGGAGGTCAAGGAGCGACCGGACATTGGTGTCTTTGTCAAGGATCTCAGCGGTTATGTGGTGCACAACGCCGATGATTTGGAGAACATAATGCGATTGGGAAACAAAAACCGGGCCGTGGGTGCCACCAAAATGAATCAGGAGAGCTCCCGGTCGCATGCCATATTCTCGATCACCGTTGAACGGAGCGAGCTGGGTGAGGGCGGTGCCCAGCATGTTCGAATGGGAAAGCTGCAGCTGGTGGATCTCGCGGGATCGGAGAGGCAGTCAAAGACCCAAGCGAGCGGACAGCGCCTTAAGGAGGCCACTAAGATCAATCTTTCGCTTTCGGTGCTGGGAAATGTTATCAGTGCTCTGGTAGATGGCAAGAGTACCCACATCCCATACAGGAACTCCAAGCTGACCCGACTGCTGCAGGACTCTTTGGGCGGAAACTCGAAAACAGTCATGTGTGCCACCATCAGTCCTGCGGATAGTAACTACATGGAGACCATATCCACTCTGCGGTACGCAAGTCGTGCCAAGAACATCCAGAATAGGATGCACATTAACGAGGAGCCCAAGGATGCTCTGCTGCGACATTTCCAGGAGGAGATTGCTCGTCTACGCAAGCAACTGGAAGAGGGCAACAGCTTGGAAGAGGAGCCACAAAGCTCGGAGGAAGAGGAGGACACTGCCGACGATGAACTGGAGGCTCCGCTGGAAATCGAGCTGGAGTCCTCCACTGTACAAGTTGTGGAGAAGAAACCGAAGAAGAAGCGGGAGAAAACCGACGAGGAGAAGGAGGAGCTGGCCCAGAGGAAAAACGAACATCAACGCGAAATCGAGCATGCCAAGACCGAGCAGGAGCAGCTGCGAAACAAGCTGGTTTCGCTGGAGGGAAAAATCCTTGTGGGTGGCGAGAATCTTCTGGAAAAGGCACAAACCCAGGAAAAGTTGCTGGAGCAGTCCATTGCCGAGCTGGAGGAGCGAGAAAAATCTGAGGAGGCCCTCAAGCAAACGCTGCAACAAAAGGCCACCGAGAGGATTGACATCGAGGAGCGCTACTCCAGCCTCCAAGATGCCAGCACCGGGATAACCAAGAAGATCCACCGAGTGATGCAGATGCTCATGGGTGTGAAATCGGAGCTGGCCGACCAGCAGCAGGAGCACCAGCGCGAGAAGGAGGGCATCTACGAGAACATCCGAAGCCTCTCCAGGGAGCTGGCTCTGTGCGAACTAGTCCTGAACTCCTACGTGCCCAAGGAGTACCAGTCAATGATCAATCAGTATACCCACTGGAACGAGGATATCGGCGAGTGGCAGCTCAAGTGTGTGGCCTACACTGGGAATAATATGCGGAAGCATATTTCCGCCCACAAGACGAGCGGAAAGGAGCCCGACTTTGTGGACTTATCGCACGTATATCTCAGCTACAACACCGACGGGGTATCGAATCCCTTGAGGACCAAGTCCGCCCGACCCAGAACCTCGGGAGTACCCCGACCGACAACCGCCCGGCGCTACTGAATCGACTGCCGTCCGTTGGGACTGCGTTTCCAGTTTTGGTTTCTTCTGCTGCTAATTCCGCTCTTCTACGGCCTCAAGTTCTTTTGTAAATTTCAGTTTTATAGACTTAATTTTTGTTGATTTATTGTTTAGGTTGTAACTTAAGGTTGAACGAACGGTGCAATACTTCAACTGTGTTTTTATTTTTAGTTTATCTTTAATTTTTAAAACATATATTTAAGCAAAAAAACAGGATTTTACTCGAATATGCACAAAAATGCATTAGTTAAGTATTGATGTGCTTTTGGCTTTTAAATAAAAATCAAAATATGATACTCACCATAATCATGATACTTTTTTTGTTTAATTGAGTATCGAAATATTAAATATTTTAGTTTAAAAATTTAATTAATTTTGGCTCTAAAAAGCAGGCAAGCATTTAGCCTTGGCTGGGGAAAACTGAAATTTGGCTGCGGTCGAAACAGCTGGTTCCATAGTGTAGCGGTTATCACGTCTGCTTTACACGCAGAAGGTCTCCGGTTCGATCCCGGATGGAACCAGGTGGTTTCTTCTTTTTTCTATTTAACTATTTTAATTATATTTTTATTTTATAATAATTATATTTTTCAAGTTTATTTTTGTAGTTTTTAGATAAAAATGTAGTTACAGCTTTTAGTTTGTCTAAACTAAAAATTGGGGTCTTTACAATCTTATTTATACAATCAAAGAATTCCGAGGCCTTTTAATAAATAATAATTAAATAAATTTCATTAAAAATACTCTTTTTATTTCCATTTATTTTATTTTTTTGAATCATACTTTAAAATAAAACAAAGTATTATTCCACTTGAGGGATAGCTAATCTTCAAAAAACATTTTATGCAGTGAGAAATAGTTAAAAAAAAAAAACCATTCATAATGAAGAATATTTATTAAATAAAATAATAAAAATATTTTAAATGAATACTAAAATATTAAAAAAGGAAAAACAAAAAAGTTACTTATCAACCTGGTTCCATCCGGGATCGAACCGGAGACCTTCTGCGTGTAAAGCAGACGTGATAACCGCTACACTATGGAACCAGATGAACGAAGCGTGGCAAAGTTCCAATACAAAACAACGTACTTCGATGGGTAAGCCTTTTCTATATAGTGCCTGGAATCTGGGTTGCTTGAGATTAAAAACTAAAATAAACCCACTAAGCGACACGTTGCTGATTAGCATATTTGTTTAAAAAAAATCCAGGACTTAAGTGATAAATAATAAATTCATAAATAAGAGGTTGTTATGTTTTTGTTGTCATTGTTTCGCTGAATTCCTTCCGCCCAGGTGTTATTTCGGGGCGGATTACTCACACCTGTGTAGGGTAACGGATGCATTCGCTTGGGCAGGTAAGCGTTTTTGATAAGAACTGTACTTTTTCCATTATTTACAAGCAGATTTTGTTTCGGTTCCAAACGTAATACCGTTCTCAAATGTGGCAAATTTTGTTGCCCCACCAAAAGTGACTCCAAATAAAGGTATTTCCTTCATAATCACCGAGTCTCTTATCAGCGCACGTTTTGTTTGCCACCCAAATGTGTGTTTTGGGGCGTTTGACGGGAGATACGCTTTAAAGGGGCGGAGCCCCACTCGAACGTCCGATTTCAAATCGATAGCGGAATCATGGGATCGACGTCACAAATAATAACTGTTCAATTTACATATGAGGTCGGGAATTAATTCGCAAGTGAGAGATCGTCGTTGCCAAGTCTGGGAGATTGAAGGGTAAGGGGCAGAGGTTGGGCTGGTGAGAGCGGGTAGCTCAATCGAAATTACAGATTACTCACTCGCTGGCTGCTCATTGAGTGGAATATATAGGGTCGTACACTCAGTGACAAGGTTGAGATTTTATTATTTGTTAAAATAATATAATTTTTAATTTAAAAAAATGGTTAAAAATTCAAAGAAAATGATGATGTAAAAATAAAAATAGCAGAAACAAAAATATATACATTTTTTTTTAAAATCGAAACATCTCGTATTTGATTTACAACAAATTTATTCTTCCTACTATTTATACTACTAATACTCCAACTACTGCTACTACTTCTACTCCTACACCTCCTAGTTTTACTTCTATTTAGTTTACTTCAGATACTGCTACTACTACTACATTTTCATCGTCCTACTCCTACTCTTAGTCCAAGTCGTATTCCTTTTCAACTACTAAAATTATTTCTTCTTTTATTAATTCTAATAATAAAACTAATATTCCCACTACCTTTACTACCCCTCCCAAATCTACTACTACTACTACTAGATCCCAATTTTGTCGTCCAGTGTTGCTGAGTGGCTGCTCTCGTACATTCGCCCGACAGACAGAGCTCTGCGATCGTAAAACACCTCGCCCGCAGTTGCTCCGGATCAGTCTCTCCGTCGAAACTGAAGAAAAAGCATATAGTACGTTATCGTCCAGTGTTTTGTGTGTTACTTGGTAGTCTTTTTTAATTTCACTTGGATGTGCAATTGCCGACGCTAAAAATATACAATATACAAGAAAAACTAAAAAAGAGTATCGAACGGTAGCTCTGTGTAAATAATAAAAAAAACGCCACGTTCTCGCGTTTAACAAAACACTCGAGAACTATATTACATATATAGTCGACCACGCCGTATAATTAGTTACTTGTCGTCGATATTTCGATCCCGCCGCCTAGCAACAGATCCCCCCAATAGCATTTCAATGATCTGAAGTGGCGCGTCGAATAAAAAACATCGTGAATTTTTGTTGGTGAACCAAAACTGTGATAATAAACCACATCGAAAGGGAGCCTACATCGGGAAATAGTGTATATCCACCGAAATTAGTGCGTTTCCAATGTAGCCCCTCATGGATAATTAACACGAGATCGTTGTGTGACTATATAGCAGTATCGTGTTAAAGCAAAAAATTTCGCTGTGGCGAATTTTACAAATAGCATCCGTAACCCCACAACATCATCTCAACGTCCCTAGCGAATTTCACTCATTTGTCAGCGCGGAATTTACCTGAGTCACGAGCCATTTCAATTTCCCGGTGAGTTGTCCTCGCTCTCGATCCGATGCTGAAACTGTATCTGAATCTGAAACTGTTTCTGATCTAAAACTGGGTGCTAGGTGTTAACTTTTGAAGTCAATATCAATTATTGACCTCGTAACGCAATTGCGAATATTGGGAATGCGACGCAATATCTGTTTACCGACAAAAAATAGGGTCAACATATAGCAATTGTCTTGTTTGTCACTTCAAGGGAGGGATCTGTTGGTCAAAAATGATGAGACGCCATATAGGGGTGACTGTCCCTGGAGTGACGGCTGTTCAACCACCAAAAATAATATTTATTTTTCCTCTTATCCCAAGGGTGGTCAAAATGATCAATGTTAAATTTTAGCGAAATATTATAGCCTATTTTTGCTCACAAATTCTATATACATATAAAGTTTATAGATATCATAAAAAATAAAATCGCTATTCGTTGTTCACATGTGTCATAAATACTAGGAAATGCTTTATATTTATTTTGAAAAATAATTTCAAATTCCATTTGGCCTATTTATATTATAGTATATATTTTCTGTTCGAGCGAACTCTTATCTAAGTTCATGGGGGAAATCCACTTCGTTTCTGGTATATTTAGCGCATGTCGGGTCTTCAGGCCCTCTGATTGTGAAGTTTTGCGAATGCCACTGCTATCAGTTATCGGCTAGACCTTAGTCCGAGTTGACTCACTGATTAAATAACAACTTCCCGTGGCACAAATATATATAGTATATTATATATCTGTGTCTGAATCTTTTCATGCGGAACCACAGGTGATCACATGAGTGAGTTGTTGTACGAATCGGTGACATGGGTGAAGACCTGGCAAACAGGGGAAGTTTGTCAAATAAACATGTCATATAAGAAGTAAGACATAGGGCATCCAAAAATATCTCGTACTTGATGTATTTACGTAGATCAACTGCCCGTTTTAGTGGCTTTTCCTCTGAAAGATCCCTTATCTCTCAAAAGATAACACTTTTCGCACAAGATGCTGGAAACAAATTTAAATTTGTGGCAGTTTAGTTCGAGATATACCCCGAAGCAGTACGGCTAGTGAACGAAACAAAGTTTTGAAAAAAAGTTCATTGAAAAAGTTCATCGCAAAATTAAACCTTGCAGACCATGTACTCTTATAAGTTTTAATTCGTTTCAACAAAAGTAAGAGTTCAAACTCAAAAGCCAATGGCCTAGAATATAAAACTCCAGTATAAAAAAAAAACGCAAGACAAAAACTTCTCAAATTACCTTAAAAAAGTGATCACAGTGGAGTTTATTCTGCCTAGCAACAAGTTTTGGTCTCTTTTCTTCTGCGCATGCGCGGCTTATTTCAATGAATGTTCTCGGCAGTCTCCTCGTCTTCAGAAAACAAATAAAAGGCAATAAAAACTATTAAGGCAACCAGAGGGGCAGGTCTCTTTCCGAGAAGCTGCCAGGCGGCGTCTCCCCTTCCCATGTTCTCCAACTCCATCTCTCACATTCTCATATTCTCACAGTCCCAGACAAATGAGGTCAAAATCCTTGAGGTTCTTGTCCTTCCTGGCTGGTGATACAGTCGAGATTCCCTAACTGGAATTTTAAAAACTTTGATTTCATTAAAAGGTTTGGATAAGGAATATTTTGAGTTTAAAAAGTAGAAACTATGAAGATCTAAGGAGAATAATATTTATTATTAAAAGTTTCTTTTATTTGCTAATAATTTTTCATACAAGTTCAACTGTACCTTTTAGAGTTCAATGTGGAATGTTCTCCCTCCAGACTCAGTATGTCTGAAAAAAAAAGAAAAAAAAGAAAAGAAAAAAAATTAGGGCTTATAGTGGTTCTTTGTTAGGATTTAATTTAGGATTCTAAAACCCTGTGCATTAAATACTATCTGTATCTATTTTATCGTCAACTGATCATTAGAAAGCTTTGATATTGACCGACAATTGAAAATATATACAATAAGAGAGAGATTAATCAAGGTTATCCCCGCCATTCGATTTACCCTGTAGTTATGTAAAAGTCTGTATGCTTCATGTCGCCATTTCAATTCATTTCAATTGAGACCGAAGCCCCATTAAAAATTTGATTGACCCCAAAAAGAATACAACCGACGACGCTCATCAATGTGATGGGGAAAAGAAAGTGAAATGCCCCACTATGAAAACGAGAAGAAAAGCATTTTCATGGGAAAACCATTTGTTAAGATTTCCCTGAGAATGGCGCATTGTTAGAGCAGTTCAATTGAAATGTCAATTTCAATTGAAAAACTGTAACTAGGCGGAAACTAGATTGCACCGTCGACTGCCAATTTGCATGGACAAGTGCATAATGCGCAAATAAATCAGTCATAAGAGCCATAAATAAGAAACCTTGCTGAGCTGTGGGCCAAGACCTCACGTTTGCGACCCTCGACAGTACTTCTTTGAAGGCGATAATGCCACAACTGGCTTTCTGCATAACACCTGCCAAACCCAAGTCACTTTCGAAGCCAACTAATCAGTCATGGCGGCCAAGTTCAATAAAACTTTTTCGATCGAAAAAAATAGAATTGAATCACTTGGGTTTTCCCAATTCTGAAATACCCAATACTAATATATAGACTTTTATTAAATATGTCATCACTCAAGAGGAATTTAAGATGATTCCCAAATATTTAGGTCAATAAACTATCGAAATATTTTAATAATGTTCAAAAGACTTAAAATAAATAAAACATAAAGGTTATTAAAATATTGAGATCACTTCTTTCTTCCCACCTTTCACCTTCAGATACAACATATACCCGTGATCTTTTCGGGATAGCGGGTATGAAAATTTTGCGCGATTTTTCCGCTTTCTTCGTTTTTGGCTAGAAAAACCCGAACATGTCGAAAACCGAAAGACGAAAGTCGAAAAGATATTCGCCAGCAGTTTCGGTGGCAACGTCAAGGCATTCGGACGATACGATCGGGCTGCGAGATTGACGTAAAGGAGATTCCTCCGCAGTATCTTCAAGATACTTATACAGTGCGGTTATTTCCGGTTATCACCATTTTTGAATACAATATAAGTCGCGGGTTCGACCAAATTCCAGATAATTGCAGTTAATTAAAAAACAAAATAGATTATTTTTTTGGTAAGGCACTAATAAAAAAACAACGGGTGAACGAACTTAAAAAGAGTTAATCGGTAACTGTTGCATCAGCACTGAGGAACTGAGGATTAGTGAAAGCTCTCAATAATTACAATATTATTCTTTTGGTTATTTTTGGCCATCGAAATGGTAAACAAAAATGTCAAACTCGAAAAAGTATGAAACTTATAATCAGAAAAACAAAGCCAAGTCCGACATGTTTATAAAATCTTATATAAAATCAAGAAACCCCAAAAGGGTTCACAGGGAATTATATCATTTCGTTATATCACTGGGACGATGTAACTTCCCTGAGAACCAAAACGAAAAGAAAATATTCGAATTTTGAAATACAAAACAATTGTACATAATGTTAAAATTCTGTTTCGATTTTATTCTCTAGGGACTTAGCATATAGTGATTGAGAATTTCCCGCGACAGTCGGTAGATAATGAAAATGATAATGCATTTATTGGAATAATACAATAAATACGATTAAGTCTACCGATCACAGAATATGATCAGCTGACAGCGTCGTAAAGATCTGGGGAATCACTCGAATGGGGCGTGTTGGCTGATGGGGCCAATCAGATCAGCTGAGATGGGTTCATTGGGTATCTAATGGAATAATACGCTTGTGGATCAAATACCTAATAACTTGCCTGTCACGTTCCCCCAACTGAAATAAATTCTCCGCCATAGTATTGAATAACCTGTCCCGTCCACGTGCGGATCTTAGAAATCCAGTCTGTCTCTTTGAATTCCCGACGTCTCCGGCGTCTGTTGTGTCTGTCTATCAAAAGTCTAAACACTGGACTTGGGATCCAATCTCGAAAAGTGCAATCCCCACAAAAGATACAGTATCTGCACTGCACTAAAAATCTTGCAAGCTATTTCTTATAAAAGAAACTCTGTTTAAAAAGCCATTCCTCCTTAATATGATCCCCTTTTTTTCGCGAGTGTTTACCTTCCGCAGTGCGGCGCTGTCTGGCAATTTCATTACAAAACCGTCTTATTGCTAGCCCGATTTCCAACTTTGTTGCCCTGGCATCAGTTTACATGGCACTCACTCCCCGTTTTGGCTCGGACATGGGCATGGGCCTTATCAGCTCGAATGCGACGCGTGGCAGCGGCCAAGTTAGCAGTTTTTGGCCAATTGTGAACGCCCGGTCGACATTAATATGCAGATTTGACAATTTGTGGGCATTCATTCAGCAATTCCCACATTCACGGGAGTGAATAAACTTTATTGGTAATTCACTCCAGGGAAATATATTTATTTCCTGGATCCCTCACGTGGCACGTGAAGAAGACTCCGAGCGTCGAGCCCCCACATTTTCATCAAATGCCACATGTGGCGCTACGAATTCTAGGAAAGATTATAGATGTATTTGCGAACCTCGAGACAGAAAAGAATGCTTTCCGAGTATGTGGGTGAGGTTGCTTAAGATTATACTTTTTTTAAAAAATATGGCTAGCCATAAACTAAAAATCTATGGGGAAAAGATACCATTCATAAACTCTATTAGCACCAATCAGAAAATCAAGATTCAATTATCGAAAATTCTTTGAAATATTTTGAGGAATAAGTTCATAAATTTTCCATTTTTTTGTGGCTAGTGAAAAATACTTAGATTGGAAAAGATTGGAAAATTTTTTAAAAAATTTCGCACAGTCTATATACTATATATAACCTGGATGTATCTTATCTCCCCCTTGTTAATAGAATTCTGCTGATTGAACTTATGTTCTTAATATGCCAAAAGCCAGACATGCATATCTGAATATTCCAGTAATAAATATACTAGTGATATCTTATCAATATTTTCCACTTGACGACAACAAGAGTTAAGCCCGATTTGGGTCTGGACTGTGTAAATTATTTACCCTGACTAACCTGACTTAAGTGATTGATCAACTGGAAAACGGTTGTAAATACATATGATAATTTTGTCAGGGCTAGTCAAACATTGTCACTATCTAGATCAGTGGATCGCAAAATCATATAGATACATTTGTATCTAAAAAATAAAAAACAAAACAACTGTGTTTGTACAGTGATAATAACACTAAGTGAGCTAAGTAAGTTAAGTGGCCTAAATGGACGAGAAAGACGTCAGTGGCGACTCTCAACTTTTCCTTAACTTTTATGCTCCTGGTGCTATTTTAGATATAAGGTTTGTTTTTAGCTTTCCAGCTAATTCTTGACGTCAGTTGGGGCGTCATTTATCCGTCAGATCATAAAGTTACACATATACCTGAATATTGACAGCTTCTGGCCTTCACGGAGGGCAAATGACTTGGACTGTCTTATGAATTACCCATAATATGTTTAAATTATAAACTTGTGTTCTGCAATCGATTGATGTGTTGACTGAGCTGACTCTTTTCACCTTAAGTCTGTTTATTTTTCAAGCGAACTGAAATGAGTGAAATGAAATGAACTGGCTTCTGTTCTTATTTGCAATTTAATTGTTTATCTTTATTGCCTTGAACACCTTAACTATAGAAGCGCACCCTATGATTACTCAGAGATCTCCAGAATCATTAAGAATTTTAAAGCTTTCTTAACCGGTAATTTAGCGATTTACTTAAGGCTTTAGGAGTTAAAAATAATTCTCGAACCAGACTGTTACATTTACATGATAAAAATAATTTGGTGCCAGGTAATTAAAATTGTTTAAATAAAATGGTTGCCAGGTTATTAAACTGGACATTACAGGTGGTGACCCAACTAGGGAAAATTTTACGACTAAAATTCTGGGTAAATCGTGTCATAAGCTATAATTAAATATTATTAGTGTTAAATCACGAAGTCTATTCAAAAGTGAAATCATTAAGATGATTAGGTGGTATTCAAGTATAGCTGATAATTGGGATGATAATTTGATTCTCGATCTTGAAATAAACCGCCTGGAATAATTTGAAGCCTCGCTGGAGACCACCAGACACTTAGCACTATCAGATATCGGATCAAGTGACTGCCACGATCAACATTTTATGACAAATAATCCAAACAATTGCCCAGCGCGTGCGACTGCTTAGCTTTGTCCAATTATATGACAAAAGTAAACAGAAAGTCTCTGTCCAGACTCCTTTATGTGAATGCCGGCATAAAATGAGACATCCCGCCCGAGACTTGCGATCAATTGAAAAAATAAACAAAGAAATGGATTAATAAAACGTTGACCGAATGGCTGGGAATATTTTTTTGCAAAGATTCTGATTTTCAACAAATTAAACACTAACCATAAACTAAACAAATATTTTTCTTCTGTTTATTGCAGTTCTTCAAATGGGTTGACTTGTGACATTGCAGCTTCCTGGACCCGGGAATCAAAAGGTAAAAGTCCATTACAAATATGTTTACAAAATCGATGATGGGATTGTAAAAACCAATGAATATCTACCCAAAAATCAAAATCATTTAGAAATCGTAAATAATTCCCCTCCATACACACATCCGTTGTATGGAAACCGAAATTAGGAAAATACGCATCAATATAAATGGTTAATAGTATTAACCTGCTGACTGATTGATGTTGGGACTATACGGATTTGTTCAGAAATCGAAAATTTTGCAAATTGAAACAAAATTATTCAATACTTTTAATGCGATTTGGAATTTTACCCCCACGTGCCCAATGTACACAAATAATTTTGTTTACGACTAGTACAGGTTTTAATATAGAATCCGAAAGGAATTTTCTAATTACATTTGGAAATGGCGCAAGGGCCTGGCATTGGCTTTGAAATAGTTTCAGATGGAGTAATCAACTAGTAATATTGTTTATTAATTTATTGGAGGACAGACCACAAGAAGGGTTAGTCGGACTAAAACGAAGATTCCATTGTTTCCATTACGATCGGGCTTTTATGATATAGATCTGTTTTTTTTTGGGGAGATCTGCGAACAGAGCAGATGTTCTGCTTATCTTTTTTAGCACACTCTTACCATTTCCCCGGCTGGCTACCTGGCCATAAAGCAATTCCAGGCCCCAAGTACCATTCGGACCATAAAATTAATTTATTAGTTTTACAAATGCTTAAGTTTTGTTTACCTCCAGGTCTCACGAGTAGGAATTTGCCAAAAAGGAATTTCTTTTTCCAAAAGTAGCGAAAGTGTGAAATAAACAAAAATGCGGGATGATGTGGTATCCGCTGGGAAAGTGGATCGGTAAATGGTTCAAGGGTACTACGGGCCTATACTCATATGGGATATATACTGGGAGGATCTGTAGTAATAGAGTATTTTTCCCACAGAAGCAGCAATCATTGAACAGGTTTATTATTGTTATTTATTGAATGGGAATTGGGCGTTGAGTAAATATTTATCTGCTCATAAATGGGCGGTGTTTTGGTTTTAAATAAATATTCCATCAAGACGTCATATCTCCTGATATATGATCATATTTTGTGTGTGTTTCTAATGGCCCAATATTTCTTTGTTTTTAGGGATAAATCTTGAACCTTAAAAGACATAGCCAAGCAATATCAACATCAGCAGCAGCAGCAGAAACCACCACACCACACTGCAATAGTTCAATTTTTGAAACAGAACCACTTGGGCACCGTTGGATCCTCTGCTCGAAAGCAGCACACCACCCATGAACCACTCGGCCAAAGCGCTCAACAGCGTGGCCACCAAGATTAGCACCTCCTGCTCCTGCACCTGCACCTGCACCACCCAACCACTGACCCACCTGCATCACACTGGCCATCTGATTGCCCACCGCCTTGGTCACTCCTACGCAGCCCGTGCCGATCACAATTATCTGGGATAAAATTCGATCACCTTTGGAAACTAAAAGTCTGATCCTTGGATCGCTGTTGGACACATCCTTCATATCCTTTCTGCAGAAGCATCAAAACGGCCGGCACAATGTTGAAAGTCGTTGGTGCATCGTGGCAAAAAACGCGGATAGGGACCTACATCCTTATCGGAGCTGGTCTGCTGGTTATAGGAGCCTTCTTCATCGGCTATATGGAGCGCCCAGAGTTCGATGGCACTTATTGTGCCACCGCTCTTTGGACGAGGAGATCTGGCTTCCAAATCGAGTACTGGAAGCAGCAGAATGATCTGGTTAACATTCCCACAGGTGTGGCGAGGATTTGCTACAAGGATTCCGTCTATGAGAATGGGTAAGTGATGAGGGACTAGGATTCAAAAGGATACATTTTCTAATATTTCTGAAACCTCTTCAGATGGGCACAAATTGAGGTGGAGACTCAGCGTAACTATGAGGATTGGGTTCAGGCCTATGCTGCTGGTAAACTAGAGGGTTCTTTGACCTGGTACAACATCTACAACCAGTGGTCCAAGTGAGTCTGACAGAGCTCACCAATTAAAGACTGAGCTATAATTAGTATCCATTTTTTAGTACCATTTCCACCTCATGCGAGCGGGACGAGAGCTCTAAGAAGTTCTGCGAGTGGCTGCGAACATTGCTGAAGGGCAACTTTGAGCGTCTGAAGGCAAAGGCTGCGGTCAAGTCCAAGGTCGATCACTATTGGCACCAGTTGAACCTGTTTGTCACCCAACTGGAGGGCCTGGCCGATGGCTACGTTCAAGGAGCCCTTCGGGCACGCTCGGAGCTGGAGGAGGAGATCAAGCTGGAAGACTTTCTGATGATGAACGCCGCGGCGGACATTCAGGACTTGAAGATCTACTACGAGAACTATGTGCTGCCCAATGGAACGGTGGGTGAGGACGCGGGCACGGATCAACCGAAGAACTTCTTCCTGCCCAGCGCCTCCATGCTGACGAGGATCGTGCCCCAGGAGAACTCACCGCAGACGCTGCAGTTGCTGTTTGGACACAGCACCGCCGGGAGCTACTCATCCATGTTGAGGATCCAGAAGCGCTATCAGTTCCACTACCACTTCTCACCAAACCAGAAGAGCAACTCCATTCCAGGAGTGGACATCACCTTCACCAGCTACCCGGGCATACTGGGATCCACCGACGATTTCTACGTGGTCAAGGGCAGGCATGTCCAGGCTATTGTCGGAGGAGTGGGCATCAAGAACGAGAACCTGCAGCTCTGGAAGTCGGTAGACCCCAAGGCTATGGTGCCCCTGGTGGCTCGGGTGATGGCCGCCAATAGGATTTCACAAACGCGGCAGACTTGGGCCAATGCCATGGCCAAGCATCCGGCAACGGGAGCCAAGCAGTGGATCACCGTGGATCTGAAGAAGCTGGGCGTTCAGGATAACCTCTATAATGTCCTGGAGGGCGATGACAAGCACGACGATGCAGCCGTGGTACTGAACGAGAAGGATAGGGCAGCCATTCTGGAGCGCCACAATCAGCTTAAGGACATGGTGTGGATTGCCGAGCAGTTGCCGGGAAGTATGACCCGGAAGGATGTGACCCATAAATTCCTGGTATCCGGCAACTCGTCCTGGCTGGCCAACGGGGTGCCCTACCATCAGAACGTCCTGGAAGAGAGTGGCGTGAGCTACAGCGAGGATCAGCAACTGACGGCGGCGGATGAGAAGGAACTGACGACCCTCGAGGCGGTGGACAAATACCTGAGAAACCACGGCTTCCGCGGCGATCTGCTGGGCGGCGAGGAGTCGATCGCCTATGGCAACATCGACCTGAAACTCTTTTCCTACAATGCCCGCCTCGGGATGAGTGACTACCATGCCTTTGCAGGACCCATATTCCTGCGACTGCAGCATGTCCAGCCGCGTGCTTTGGATGATCAGAACAGCGGGGAAGTCGGCGGAAAGGATGGCAGTGCTCCCTCCTCGATTGGCGACGAAAGGCTAAGTGTGAGCATCGAGGATGCGGCCAGTCTGGCGGAGATGGAGCTCATCACCGAGAGGCGGCCCGTTCGAAATGACATGAGAGCTATCGCCATGGCGCGAATCGGAGCTGGGCCCTTCAAGTGGTCACAAATGGAGGAGGGCGGCGGCCACATGGGCCATCCCGATGAGTGGAATTTTGACCAGGTCTCTCCCAAGTGGGCGTGGTAGGGCCAGTGGATCACCCAAAAACCCTAGAACTCGTATCTTCCAATCGAATTTGCATCTTCACATGAATTCACCCTCCAAACCCACCTCCTTCTGAAACCTCAACTGGAAGTCCATAGTTATAGTAGAATTGTATATTCTTGTGTCCCCTGTCACCCTGTACTTTGTGTGTTCCTAGTTGGTATTCAAATTTTAAATACGTTACGTCCATAGTCACTAGTGTCCACTGTACTTACCATACATACTTATGCGTGCTGCGTGTCCCATTCGCCGGTTTTTGTCTTCCACTAATTTATGCTTTTATTTCTCGTAGGACTTTTTCAAATTAGCAACAAAATTTTAAACATTATTTTAGCAGCAAATTTTTGTACTTTAGTAATTTAATAAAAAAATAAACAAAGAACTATAAATTTAATGGTTTTATTTAAAAGGATATATCAAAAGGGGTATGTAATGAGTTGAAATTAATAAATAATTACAGTTTATAAGAAAGAGGAATACAAATACTAATTATTATCAAAATTAGTAAATAAATTTAAAAAGAGGTTAGTTTATTCTGTCTTTTTTTACGTAGCCAGTTCTAAAACCATTTTAGAATTTGGAACCAGAAACATAGAAAGCTTTTTGAAGCTTTCAGAACAAAAAACTATAGACCACTGTAGGCTGGGAATTTTTGATATAAAACTTATATTATTTCCATAAAATAAATTGATAAAAATATTATAATAAAGGTAACCTATGATGGATCTAATTATAATAATAAAACACTTCAAAATAACATGAAAATTCTTAATTATATGAATTTTTTTTAACTTTTCAATACCTATTTTTATGTTTTAAATTACATTTTTAAGCTTGATTTCATATTAAAATAGAAAATGGCACCATTTTCTATATTTAATTATATATCAACGACAACGGGGCTCCACCCTCTCATAACTCTGATTGGTCACTCTGCTTAGGCTCCTCCTCTTTAGTAATTTTTTTCACCTTAAGTGTGTTCCCATTGGAGCATTTTCTCTTAAGGTTAAATATTAACCCACTTATTCATAAATTATTGATAGGTTAAGGTCAATGACCTGATCTGTAATATAAAAAAAGAACAATTCTTTGTTTGTGGCACATTTCACACTTTAAACTTTATTTCGGACTTCATTTTTTACATTTGGGTCTCAATTACAGAAGGACCGCAATAAAATACAAGGGAAACTTGTCAAAAACAATTCGTGGGGAATCCCCGCACCAATTACCAAACTCAAATAGATCTATTTTGAAATTCAATTTGCTCTTGCAACTCGCATCCCGGGCAGCCAACAAACGAGGCCAATTACTTTAAAATATTTCGTTGGGCAAACTTGGTCGACAACTTTCGAAAAAACAAAAAGAAACCGATAGAAAAAAAAATGTAAGAATAAGGTTTTAGCTTCTTTTGTCTTGGCTTGCAAGAAGAAAAGGGATATTCCAGGATGAAGCTGTGGGTGTGTGGGACAAAGAATAAAACAGAAATCCCTTTTATGCTTTGATTATGGTAATTTTGCGATTTGTTTTCATTGCAGTGAAACATGCAATTTTCCTATATATATTTTCCCCTATATACATAATATATATATTATGTAGTTCCCACTTGAGGAAACTTTGAGCTCTAGCAAGTCGCTGGAATGCAAGTTTTTTGCTTGACAAAGACCAAGCCAAAGAGTCGCAATTTGCATAAGTTCTACCGGCAAGGAAACACTGTAAAAAATATATATATTTTTAATAAATAAAATATCATAAATCAGAGGTTTATTTAGATGTTAAAGGTCAGAGTACGCTTTCCTTAGAACTGATTGAATATGAATATTAAAAATATATTTTGTAGAGTGTACTGTGGGTAGATGGAAGGTATTACGCCAAAGTATTTTGCATACATTCAGGTCTTTTGTTAGAAACCTCCGCCCACTATTGTTTACACCCCCTTTTGGCACTACCTCGCCCCACACCTACCGCCCTTTCTTATCCACTGACTCGCCATAAACCCTTTCCCTTTGTCTATATCACTGTCTATGCTCGTAAGATTTAGCTGAATTATGGCCGCCATTGAGTTCGTTTCGCCCTTGGGCTAATTTATAAACGTAAATTTACTTTGATGCTAATGACGCCGCTGAAGGCAAACACCAACAAACATAACCAGCCGGACAGGGACAAACAAACACTCGCAAACAGATAGTTTTCTGTTGATATATCAATATGCATGCCAAAGGTGGAAATTAGTGCATTTGCTCAAGGGTCAGAGCTCCTCCCGCCGACAGGACCTCCAGGCAGCCAGGACCTCCGCGTCCATTTTAAACCTCAATTCAGGCGGCAGGTGTTGGCATTCTGCCCGACCGTGTGATTTATGGTTTAGCCACGCAATTGCGAGCCTTCAGTGACCAGCATTTTTGAGTTTGCCCGCCCACGCAGTCAACGCGGACAACGCTGCGTATGCGTAACATATGTGCCGCCAATATTTGGTTACAGGTGCTGCTGGGTGTTGATTTAATTTAATTATGTATGCGTGGAATTGGAAAAATGCGAGTGGTTTAGTTGGCACATTTTCCAGTAGGTTATATCCCTAGTATGATATACTTTCACTCTCAAAATCCCATTACATAGAATAGCTATAATTCCGGTCCTTGTTTCGGCTCTAAACTAATTACAAATGCCATTTCCATTAGCCGTGATGCTCAATCACAAAACATAAACATAATCTTATTCAATTTGCAGACTCACCACTGGGGGATACACTCTGACCTGATTTGCTTCCCATCAACATTCAATTTGGCATGACCTGTATAACTCGCATTTG